GGAATTGTGAAAAACTGAGTATAAATATATTTGGCTATGGTGTATGTGAACTTCCAACTTCAACTGTATGTAAGAATGCCTTCAACACCATAGTACTCTCCAAGGTCATCATGCAACTGGGTCCTGGACTTTCTGACAGGCCGTCCCCAGGTGATGAAGGTAGGAAACAACACCTCCACTTTGCTGATCCTCAACACAGAGGCCCCACAAGGGTGCATGCTCAGCCCCCATCTGTACTCCATGTTCACCCGTGACTGCATGGCCACGCACGCCTCCAACTCAATCATCAAGTTTCCAGGTGACTACCTCCTGAAGCTGGTTGAGAGAATGCAAAGAGTGTGCAAAGCTGTCATCAAGGCAAAGGGTGGCCATTTGAAGAATCTCAAATATAAAATATATTTAGAGTTGTTTAACCATTTTTTTGTTTCTACATGATTCCATATGTGTTATTTCATAGTTTTGATGTCTTCACTATTATTCTACAATGTAGAAAATAGTACAAATAAAGAAAAACCCTTGAATGAGTAGGTGTGCTAAAACTTTTGACCGGTAGTGTATATGTCTATCATGTATGTAGGCACCTAAACTGAGCCATAAGGGAGACTGGGCATCTACCACCCCACTATCAGATTTGAGGTGGCAATGCATGAATGCTTTTTGTCCCCCCACTTCTGAGCTATGAAATAGTAAATCACTATATAGCACAACTTTTCATTTTATCCCAGTCTCAAAATCGAGTGATTTTGACCGTTTGGAAGTTTTTATGGAGCATCTCTTCTCCTTTCGCTTTGGCCATGCAGTGCAGCGCGCAAAAATTATTGCTCACTTGACCCTGTATATCTAAAAATTTCCATATAAACTGATCGTTTAAAGCAAAACTAACCAAACTATTGCTGATAGTGAACCTGAACAATCGAAATAAAATAGAATGTAAACCCGATCAGCAGGTATAACCAGATGAGAGTTGTCTCCGGTAGGTGGTAGCTTACTTTTATTCCATAAATCACAATTTTCAACTGCACATTTGATAACAATAACCTAGCAAATTAGATTGGTTGACACTCAACTAATAAAGCCCAGTATTGTGCAAGTATTTTTTTTTTTTACAAGCATTTGAATACTGAATGTGCTGCACAGATACAGTGTGCAAGATCAGGAATAAACCTCTTTGGTCAGTGCGCGCTGCGTACAGTGTGCTGTTTGACTAGGCTATTGATGTTGTCTAGGGTTATTCGGCATGGAAAATGGCTTGTAGATCAATGACTGTCAACGAAGTAACATGCTTAGTTTGACACCGAAGGACAGGATGCATCAGTTGTCACAAAAGATGGGCGTTATTTTCAGAAGGTAAAAATAAAGTAATATGAGCAAAAACAAATTGTGAACCGCCGATTCGTAAAGTTTGAATCGATTTTTCTGATAATGCATGCTAGATTTGGATAGGTTTGTGGTCCCGCGGACCGATGCACTCATATCTTAAACATTTGAACCTGGGACCGGTGGCGATGCCTATAGATGAATGTTACATCCGTAGTTTAAAGACTAGCACCAACACCTGTCTTATTCAGTAGATAAGAATTGTTCTTTCTGTTTGATAGTAAAAAATATGTTGTTTACTCATGTCATCAGAATCCCTCTGTAACCAGTGCTGGTGCCGTTGTGATCCTAAATGACTGGACTTTTCTCTTTGCAAAAAAACCTGGAAAGAAAATGAGGTCTCATTTATTATAAAAACGGACTTGGTTTAATCAAGAACTTCAATGACTGGTCTTCTCTCATACTTTCATGAAAATGAAGCCAGAATTATAGTAAGAAAAGAGGAACCGATGCTTGACCTAGAAAGATGATTGTCATTTCTCTCTCTTGTCTCCCTCTCTCTCACTCATTCTCCCCATTTTATTATGTTGCTAATTTTAGCCTGGGAATGTGTATAGAAAATGGTGTTATCGTGATCAAGACTACTTGTTTAGTACTTGACATGACATCTGAATCTGGGTTGTTTACTGAGTGAAGAGACATTGTACAGAGAGGAGAGCTCCTCTTGCCAGCAGGCAAAACAGGAGTCTATTTTCTCCCAGTTTGCAGAGCTAGAGGTCAATGAACCACCATTTTGACAAGCAAAAATATTACTTTCCCCCACCAAATATCCATAATACATGATACAAACATGAAAACAGGTGTCAATTTGTCAAGAAAGTTTGGAAAATGTTGAATCCCCCAGTATGACCTCACTTAGTTGTGTTTGTCGAAATGGAGAAGCTTGTCTTCTTCAGACTGGGATATGGAGAGCTGATCTGTCCCTTTTTATGTACTGATAATTATTTTACTCATTGAGGACTGGAAATACTAGTAGTCTTAAGTTAGCAATAACTGTGTAGTGCGAGGTCCACAGGGTTATCTTCCAGTATAGGTTGAAGGTTAGGTGTTGTCCTTGTATGCCCTGAAATTTGCCTAAGGGAATGGAAGAGTCATTGAAAAACCATAACTTTTTAAACATTGGTTTAATTTCAACGTGCAAGGTTGGGTGATTATCCCTGTGATGCAGCATGTGCGTAAAACCCCTCTGTTTGCTGCTTTGACTGGTTGATCGTTTGTATTTGTTCAGTAGCTATCATTGATAAGGTATCCCTATGATAGCAAAAAAAAATACTTAAAATGTATATCATTTTCTTGAGTATGTCTTAGTGTAGTTTGGTGTAATCTTACTGAATTTCTGTAATTAAAAAAAAGCTTTAAAAATATGGAAAATACGTTGCCTGATTGTCTGAATCCACTCATAATTTCCCCACTGAGAGTTTTTTTGTTGGCATCAGAAGAGAGTGTTGACCTCCCATTCTGTTTGCTGTGTTATTGTGACCTGCTCTAGAGACACACCATCAATGTCGATCTGGCTGCATCTTTAATTTGTTTATCTCTTTTTTTTTTTACCTACCTATCTCTTGTTCTCATTGTGAAGTGAAGCCAGATCTCAGAAAGACAGGAGAAAGCGAGATGAGATAGAGAGGACAGGGAGAAAGAGAGAAAGAGAAGGAACAGTCCCTACACAACAATGCTCATGATTAGACCCAAAGGAAGAGCTGAAGATTGATCCATAACGACATTAAGGTAAGTATATATGATATCTTTGTATAAGTGTAATTGGTTCCTATTTTATAGCTTCCTACTTGTGGATTTGTTTTGTATCATTTTGCCTTGAGTATATTGCTCAGATTTGCACGTAAGTCAGTCCCCTGATAGACACATTCAATAATGATTTGACTTGAAGTTGGTGTCAGAAAGGAGTGGTATTGTGGGCGACTGCAGTACCTACATACACTATATATACAAAAGTATGTGAATTTGGCTATTTCAGCCACACCCGTTGTTGACAGGTGTATAAAATCGAGCACACAGACATGCAATATTCATAGACAAACATTGTCAGGAGAATGGCCTTACAGAAGAGCTCAGTGACTTTCAATGTGGCACCGTCATAGGATGCCACCTTTCCAACAAGTCAGTTCGTCTAATTTCTGCCCTGCTACAGATGTCCCAGTCAACTGTAAGTGCTGTTATTGTGAAGTGGAAACCTCTAGGAGCAACAACGGCTCAGCCGCGAAGTGGTAGGCCACACAAGCTCACAGAACGGGACCGCCGAGTGCTGAAGCGCGTAGCGCGTAAAAATTGTCTGACCTCGGTTGCAACACACACTACCGAGTTCCAAACTGCCTCTGGAAGCAACGTCAGCACAATAACTGTTCATCGGGAGCTTCATGAAATGGGTTTCCATGGCCGAGCAGCTGCACACAAGCCTAAGATCACCATGCGCAATGGCAAGCGTCGGCCAGAGTGGTGTAAAGCTCGCCGCTATTGGACTCTGGAGCAGTGGAAACACGATCTCTGGAGTGATGAATCACGCTTCACCATCTGGCAGCCCGACGGACGAATCTGGGTTTGGCGGATGCCAGGAGAACGGTACCTGCCCAACTGCATAGTGCCAACTGTAAAGTTTGGTGGAGGAAGAATAATGGTCTGGGGCTGTTTTTCAGGGTTTGGGCTAGGCCCCTTAGTTCCAATGAAGGGAAATCTTAACACTACAGCATACAATGACATTCTAGATGATTCTGTGCTTCCAACTTTGTGGCAACAGTTTGGGGAAGGCCCTTTCCTGCTTCAGCATCACAACCCCATCGAACAACTTTGGGATGAATTGGAACCCTGACTGCGAGCCAGGCCTAATTGCCCAACATCAGTGCCAGACCTCACTAATGCTCTTCTGGCTGAATGGAAGCAAGTCCCCGCAGCAATGTTCCAACATCTAGTGGAAAGCCTTCCCAGAAGAGTGGAGGCTGTTATAGCAGCAAAGGGGGGACCAACTCCACATTAATGACCATGATTTTGAAATGAGGTATTCGACGTGCAGGTGTCCACATACTTTTGGTAATGTGGTGTATAAGCTAACTGACTGCTAAGCATTCAGAGAGGAAATCACACCAGGGTGAAACTCCATGGAGCATAGCTGTGTCTGCTTAAAGCTTTTCAGGGAAAAGGAAAAGAAGCTGGCGTTTTTAGAAAAATTAAAGAGAGGACAGGGGAGTTCTTGGAATGGCTGCCTGTTTCTTTCCTTCTCATACTCTCTCCCTCTTTCTCTCTCGCTGTCATTCTTTTTTTCTCCTTTACTCTATCCCTCTCTCCCATACACAGCAGTGAAGATAGTCAAGGGAAAAGAGAGAAAAGCTCTGCCTCTCAATAATGGAAGGAGCGAGGGAGGATTGTTTTTTGGCTGTGTGTCTAGCCGGAAGCAGGGAGGGAAAGCGAGAGAGAGAGAGAGAACACAGTGACCGCCACTCCCAGTCCTCTTCAGAGCAACAGCTGAGTTGTTTAGCACAGGGTGTTAAAGAAAGAACAGGGCAAGAGACGGAGAGAGAATAGAAGAGGGAAAAAAAGAGAGGACAGAACAGAGCCCCTCACCCTTCCCACCCTTTAGTGAGCCAGTCTAAATCATTTGTTGCTTATCAGTGCTGTTGTTCTGTGAGTGTGATGCTGGTCAGACAGACCCAGGCGCAGACCTCCAAACCTTGCGCATCTCCTCTCAGACCCTGAGTACCCTGGAGAGCCTAGCCATCTCCCCCCAGAAACTCTCACTGCAGCCACCGCGCACCTCCCGCAGTGACATGTACCCTGAGGAGACCCGTGGAGGTGGAGGGGCAGCCGCCATCGACTACCTGGAGGGAGTGTATGACTACACTGCCCCTGCCCCAGGCCCGGCCCCCTTCTACAGCTCCTCCACCGCCCATGGACCCACCTCGGACGGCAGCCTGCAGTCCCTGGGCAGCAGCCCCACCAGCCCCCTTGTGTTTGTGCCCTCCACTCCCCAGCTCAGCACCTTCCTCCACCCCCCCAGCCACACCAGCCTCTCCAGCCAGTCCTTCTACCTGGAGACCTCCCCCACACCCGTATACAGGTGAGTGATATAACTGTCTTTGACCCTTATGGGGGGCAAGAGTTCAATATCTGCCTAAATGTGTGTGGCTCTGATATCTTTACTGTATGTAGGTGATGTGTGGGAGAGAGTGAGATCAGTGACCCCATTCCACTCCATTTGATCTGAATGTTCGTTAGTTAGTGTTAACTCTTGTGATGTTAGTTTGCTCAGTGTTATTTGGACAGTGTGTCACTGACTATTTAGCATCGTTCAACAGCTGCTGTGTCCCTGTGAGTTTTTTTCACCAGACCACTGATTATGTAATTGTCACAGAGCATTTCAATAAAGACATGTCATTTTCTGTCCCATATGATATGGTTGCTTGGAGAGAAATATAATGATAGCCTACATTGAGTGACATAGATTGAGTTTAGTTTTTGGCTTTTTCTTATTGTTCGCTTCATTTATTTGACTGTCCTTATTACACATTAACAGTAACATGTATTTCAGTCTTCCTGTGATCACATTTTGTTATTTGGCTCAGTGTACTTTTGTTTCTCTAGCATCCTCTTTTTAGTAGTCGGACCAACAAAGAATGACAGTCAGACAAAATAAATACTGTAAAACTAAACATATACTCAGGACTTAGTTTCATAACACCTTTTCAACAAAGTTTAGTCCTCAAAGTGGGGTATTATGCTCATTATATCATTATATGTGACAGTACTGTACTGTACTAGGTTATCTTCAGTAAATGTAAAACATTCATTATCAGAAGGGAAATATTTAGGCTGTTGAGACCGTTTATAAAGCCTTAGCCACGGAGCTCTAATTCCTCAGATGAACGACTTTGCTGGAGACCTTCAGAAAAGAACAATATGTAAGAACAACAAAGGTACTCACGTACAGTTCATTTCCTGAATGAGGTGGAGACAGATCTAGTTCCTGGGGGGATAGTAGATTAATCCAAGCTGCTGCTGTTAGCTATAATTGGCTTGAGGGTGAGGGGCTCAATGGTGTTGTCAACCTCAACAAGACGGAGCTGCTATTCCTCCTGGGGAAGGCCTGCCCGCTCCAAGACTAGGGCTGTGGTGGTCACGAAATTTCATCAGCCAGTGATTGTCAAGCAAATAACTGTCGGTCTCACGGTAATTCACCTGCAATTAACATTTAGCATCTCCTGGCTTCCACACATAGACTTCAAGCCATTTAAAAAAGTATAATAAATCCATGTAATATAGCCTACACATTCACAATAAATCCATTATTTATTTTAGACAGGTCTAAAGAAGCATGATATGAAGAAAATGTAGTCTATTTCAGAAGAAAAGAATAGCATACTCTGAGTTGTCCTTATTTTAGGTCCTGATATGGCTATGCCAAATGGCTGTGGGCTACACTAGTTCATTTAGCAGACAAGATTTGCTTATAATTCTGTGGCATTATTTTATATTATTTTATACAATTATCATTCCCCAAAATTGAAACTCACGCGCTGCTTATATATGCCAGTTAGACTCTACACCCCTTGTAAAGCGGATTAATGTGCTTAATTTTAAGAAGTTATTTGGCCACTTTAGTTTTGATACAAACCTTATTTAAAAATGTAGGCCTATGAGCTAGGCTACATGAGGTGTGTGACTATGATTCGAACAAGTCACAAAAAAAGGCATTGTTTCTTATGGTGAGCATCATTCACAAGTGATAATATGTCATTCACAAATGATAGGCTAATATTGTCACCCATCAGACTATTCTTGATTTAGTCTTGTCTTAACATATACTAAATAAAATATGTGTGAAATTTGTTTTGATTTAGAATGCACCATTTTCACGCACCTGTATCGAAACAGGCAGTGGGAAAAAATACATGTCATAGTGATGAGTGTGATTAGAAGGAGTCAGGCGCAGGAGGGTAAATCACAGAATACAGAGTTTATTCCGTTGTACTACAGCAGCGCGCCGACCCCGGCCCCCGCACCTCAGACTCCTGGAGCAGACCAGCCACTACCGGCCTGAGGAGAGACACATGAAACAAGGGGTTAATACGGTAAATCAGGGGGAAGAAATAACCTATAGGTGACCTCGTTGATTCTCCTCAGGACTTTGAACGGCCCCACAAACCGTAGGCTCAGCTTTCGGCAGGGCAGGCAGAGGGGCAGATTCCGGGACGAGAGCCAAATCCGCTCCCCCGGTATGAAGACCAGGGCCTCACTGCGGTGGTGGTCAGCGTTGGCCTTCTGACGATGCACGGCGCGTTGGAGGTGAACGTGGGCAGCATCCCACGTCTCCTCCACGCACCGAAACCAGTCATCCACCGCACGAGCCTCGGTCTGGCTCTGGTGCCACGGTGCCAGAACCGGTTGGTAACCTAAAACACATTGGAATCGCGTTAGGTTAGTAGAGGAGTGGCGGAGAGAGTTCTGGGCATATTCTGCCCATGGCAAGAACACCGACCACTACCCCGGCCTGTCCTGGCAGTAGGACCGCAGGAACCTACCCACATCCTGATTTACCCGTTCCACCTGCCCATTAGACTCGGGGTGGGACCCAGAGGTCAGGCTGACCGAGACCCCCAGACGTTCCATAAATGCCTTCTAGACCTTGGATGTGAACTGGGGACCTCGGTCAGACACTATATCAGTTTGCAGAGCTGTGGAGAGACCGGGCAGAGGAAGGAGGTGGCAGGCCTTGGAAAAGCGGTCCACAACGACCAGGATGGTGGTGTTATCTTGGGAGAGGGGAAGATCAGTCAGGAAATCAACACTTAGGTGAGACCATGGTCGTTCTGGAACTGATAAAGGTTGTAACTTACCCACTGGGAGGTGCCTAGGTGCCTTACTCTGGGCGCACACCGAGCAGGAGGAGACATACACCCTCACATCCTTAGCCAAGGTAGGCCACCAGTACTTTTGGGTCAGGCAGCGCACTGTACGACCGATACCTTGGTGACCAGAGGAAGGGTGACGAATGTGCCCAGTAGATCAGCCGATCATGGACAAGAGCAGGCACGTACCGCAGCCCAGCTGGACACTGAAGTGGAGATGGATCTGTGCGTAATGCCTGCTCTATATCCGTGTCCATTGGCCATACTACCGGCGCAACAATGCAGGAGGCCGGGAGTATGGGGGTGTTGTCTCTGGGCCTCTCCTCTGTGTCATACAGCCATGACAATGCGTCTGCCTTCACGTTCTTCGTACCTGGGATGTATGACAGTGTAAAATCGAACCAGGTGAAGAATAGGTTCCACCTGGCCTGGCGAGGATTCAACCTCCTCGCTGCCCGGATGTACTCCAGGTTACGGTGGTCCGTCCAGACGAGGAAAGGGTGTTTCGCCCCTTCGAGCCAATGCCTCCACACGGTCAAGGCTCGGACAACAGCCAACAGCTCCCGATCACCAACGTCGTAGTTCTGCTCCGCCGGGCTGAGCTTCTTAGAGAAGAAGGCACAGGGGCAGAGCTTGGGTGGCGTGCCCGAGCGTTGAGACAGGACAGCACCTATCCCTACCTCGGACGCATCCACCTCCACTACGAACGGTAGTGATGGATCGGGGTGGGCCAGTACTGGGGCTGAGGTGAACAGACCCCGCAGTTTGCTGAAGGCCAGGTCAGCCTCAGCAGACCAGCGGAACCGGTACGGCCCACCCTTCAACAGGGATGTAATCGGAGCTGCGACCTTGCCAAGGCCCCAGATAAACCTCCGGTAGTATTTGGCAAAGCCAAGGAAGCGCTGCACCTCCTTAACCGTGGTTGGAGTCTGCCAATTACCACGGCTGAAATGCGATCTCCCTCCATCTCTACACCTGAGGTGGTAATGCGGTATCTGAGGAAGGAGACGGACTGCTGGAAAAACATACACTTCTCTGCCTTGGCATGAAGGTCATTTTCCAACAGTCGGGCCAGCACTTTGCGAACCAGGGACACATGCTCGGCACGCGTAGTGGAATACACCAGAATGTCATCGATGTAGACCACTACACGGCGACCAAGCATGTCCCGAAACACCTCGTTCACAAAGGACTGGAAGACGGATGGAGCATTCATCAAACGGTAGGGCATCACCAGGTATTCATAATGCCCCATGGTTGTGCTGAATGCTTTCTTCCACTAATCCCCCTCTCGGATATGCACCAGGTTGTACGCACTCCTGAGATCTAATTTGGTGAAGAAGCGTGCCCCATGCATTGACTCGATCACTGACGGAATGAGGGGGAGAGGATAACTAAATCTGATCGTCTCCTTGTTCAGTGGTCGATAATCAATGCACGGGCGCAGACCGCCGTCTTTCTTCTTCACAAAGAAGAAACTCGAGGAGGCGGGTGAAGTGGAGGGACGTATATACCCCTGGCGCAGGGACTCTGTGACATATGTTTCCATAGCCGCCGTTTCAGCCTGCGACAGGGGGTATACATGACTCCTGGGAGGTACAGCGTCTACCCGGAGGTTTATTGCGCAATCCCCCGCCCGATGAGGTGGTAACTGGGTAGCCTGCGTTTTTGAAAACGCGTGTGCCAAATCGAGGTATTCGGGGAGAATGTGCACGGTGGATGTACTGTCTGGACTTTCCACCGTGGTTGCACCAATGGAAACACCTAGACACCTACCCTGACACTCTCGCGACCACCCCGTGAGAACCCTCTGCGGCCATGAGAAGGTGGGGTTGTGGAGTGCTAACCAAGGGATACCTAATATCACAGGGAAAGCAGGGGACTCAATAATTTTAAAAAATGATCTTTTCAGTCTTCTGGGTAATCATGGTGACTGGTGCAGTAACTTCCTGAACAAACCCGGACCCTAATGGTTGACTGTCAAGTGCTCTGATGGGGAGTGGAATGGATAGGGGAACCAATGAAATGCCTAGATGGCGTGAGAATGCCCATAAAGTTCCCAGCTGAGCCTGAATCGACTAGCGTCTTACACTGGGGAACTACCATGTGATCGGGAAAGTAGATAGGTAGGGTACAGTGCGCAGCAGAGGGCTCTGAACAAGTGTGGGTCTTCGATACCTGGGGTGATGCGAGAGTGCCCTGCCTGCCGCCTCCAGACCCAAAAGAGCGTTGACGACAACGTGTGGTGTACTGTCCCTTAGTGCCACCAGAGTGGCACTGTCGCTGTCGTCCTCCACTCTCTCGGACGGCGGCTCCACCCAGCTCCATCAGCTCAGGCTCCAAGTCGGCCGGGGTGGGAACGGGCAGACCCCTTCCAGGACGTCCTCTGGCTGCCAGCAGGTTGTCCAAACGGATGGCCATGTCACCAGTTGCGTGAAGGACAACATGGTGTCCCGGCAGGCTAGCTCCCGTCGGACGTCCTCCCGCAGATGGCACCGGAAATGGTCGATCAGGGCCCGCTCGTTCCACCCGGACCCCGCTGCAAGAGTCCGAATCTCCAACGCAAAGTCCTGCGCGGTCCTCGTCCCCTGCCTCAGGTGGACCAGCCACTCGCCCGCCTCTCGACCCTCGGGCGGGTGATCAAAGACCGCCCGAAAGAGGCGAGTGAACTCCCCCTAGTTCTCCAACGCGGCTCCTCCTTCGTTCCAAACCGTATTGGCCCACTCCAGGGCTTTCCCCGAGAGGCAGGAAACAAGGACTTACACCTTCTCCTGCTCCGATGGGGCCGGCCTGATGCTGGAGAAGTAGAGCTCCAGTTGGAGGAGGAATCCTTTTCAGAGCGCCGCCATCCCGTCAAACTCCCGTGGTCGGCATATCTGGATCCCTCCGGGTGCTGGGGTATGGGTGGCTGGATCCGGTTGGCCAGCTGGTCTCGACAGATTGGGTCCTTTCCTCTCCAGGTGTTGGACGACCTGAAGAACCCGATCCATCGCTTCCCCCAAGCTGGCCAGCATCGTGGAATGCTCCTGGACCCGTGCCACGACTCCAGGCATGTGCTCCTCTCCCGCTGACTCTATAGCGAGAGGTGGGTGATTCTGTGATGAGTGTGATTAGAAGGAGAGGCACAGGAGGGTAAATCACCGAATACAGAGTTTATTCCGTCGTAAATAGTTGCGCTGGATAGCGACCACAAAATACAGGCACATGGGAACAATCTACCCTGGCAATACAAGGTACGGGTAGCTCCAACAAAATACAGGCACGGGGGAAATATCTACCCCGGCAATACAAGGTATGAGTAGCTCCACTGAGCTACACTCAACTCACATAAAACAATTACCCACAAGGACAAGGGGGCAGAGGGAACACTTATACACGGACTAATGAGGGGATATGAACCAGGTGTGTGTAATTGACACAAGACAAGACAAATGGAATGATGATATATGGAGCGGCAGTGGCTAGTAAGCCGGTGACGACGAACGCCAAAGCCTGCCAGAACAAGGAGGGGAGGCAGCCTCGGCGGAAGTCGTGACAGTCATCTATGTACTTAAATAGCGAATGGAGGACGCTTTTCCCCGTGGTTTATTTTCATGCCAGCCAGGTATGTTATACTCCTTTTGTAAACATAAGCAATGTGCTTAATATTAGGAAAGTTGAGAAATAAATATAGTAGGCCTAGCCTATAGAAAGCTGATGGGATCCTCCTCTTTTTAATAGCGGCCATCACTCTGTTTTCTCCCGCAATTGCATAGCCTATAGAAATGTTGCGCAACATCAGTTCATGGGCTGTCATGAAGTGTTTGATTAGATTTTTGAATACATTTACAGTGAGGGAAAAAAGTATTTGATCCCCTGCTGATTTTGTACGTTTGCCCACTGACAAAGACATGATCAGTCTATAATTTTAATGGTAGGTTTATTTGAACAGTGAGAAACAGAATAACAACAACAAAAATCCATAAAAACGCATGTTAAAAATGTTATAAATTGATTAGCATTTTAATGAGGGAAATAAGTATTTGACCCCTCTGCAAAACATGACTTAGTACTTGGTGGCAAAACCCTTGTTGGCAATCACAGAGGTCAGACGTTTCTTGTAGTTGGCCACCAGGTTTGCACACATCTCAGGAGGGATTTTGCAGATCTTCTCCAAGTCATTAAGGTTTCGAGGCTGACGTTTGGCAACTCAAACCTTCAGCTCCCTCCACAGATTTTCTATGGGATTAAGGTCTGGAGACTGGCCTGTCCACTCCAGGACCTTAATGTGCTTCTTCTTGAGCCACTCCTTTGTTGCCTTGGCCGTGTGTTTTGGGTCATTGTCATGCTGGAATACCCATCCACGACCCATTTTCAATGCCCTGGCTGAGGGAAGGAGGTTATCACCCAAGATTTGACGGTACATGGCCCCGTCCATCGTCCCTTTGATGCGGTGAAGTTGTCCTGTCCCCTTAGCAGAAAAACACCCCCAAAGCATAATGTTTCCACCTCCATGTTTGATGGTGGGGATGGTGTTCTTGGGGTCATAGGCAGCATTCCTCCTCCTCCAAACACGGAGAGTTGAGTTGATGCCAAAGAGCTCAATTTTGGTCTCATCTGACCACAACACTTTCACCCAGTTCTCCTCTGAATCATTCAGATGTTCATTGGCAAACTTAAGACGGCCCTGTATATGTGCTTTCTTGAGCAGGGGGACCTTGCGGGCGCTGCAGGATTTCAGTCCTTCACGGCGTAGTGTGTTACCAAATGTTTTCTTGGTGACTATGGTCCCAGCTGCCTTGAGATCCTCCCGTGTAGTTCTTGGCTGATTCCTCACCGTTCTCATGATCATTGCAACTCCACGAGGTGAGATCTTGCATGGAGCCCCAGGCCGAGGGAGATTGACAGTTATTTTGTGTTTCTTCCATTTGCAAATAATCGCACCAACTGTTGTCACTTTCTCACCAAGCTGCTTGGCGATGGTCTTGTAGCCCATTCCAGCCTTGTGTAGGTCTACAATCTTGTCCCTGACATCTTTGGAGAGCTCTTTGGTGTTGGCCATGGTGGAGAGTTTGGAATCTGATTGATTGATTGCTTCTGTGGACAGGTGTCTTTTATACAGGTAACAAACTGAGATTAGGAGCACTCCCTTTAAGAGTGTGCTCCTAATCTCAGCTCGTTACCTGTATAAAAGACACCTGGGAAACAGAAATCTTTCTGATTGAGTGGGGGTCAAATACTTACTTCCCTCATTATAATGCAAATCAATTTATAACATTTTTGACATGCGTTTTTCTGGATTTATTTGTTGTTATTCTGTCTCTCACTGTTCAAATAAACCTACCATTAAAATTATAGACTGATCATTCTTTGTCAGTGGGCAAACATACAAAATCAGCAGGGGATCAAATACTTGTTTCCCTCACTGTACATTGATGTCAGAGTGATTAGAGTGACAATAGAGTGCTGAGTACCAGGCAGTTAGCAAGTTTGGTAGGCTACTAATGACCAGCAGCATCAGAGCTTGGAGAAGCCCAATTACCGTGACTAAACGGTGATGTGGAATTTGACTGCCTTCATGACTCGTGACCGCCGGTGTGGCGGTAGAACGGTCACCGCAACAGCCCTATCCAAGTCCTCTCAATCACAGTTGACAACTCTACGCTGTCCCCTTCCCAGAGTGCAAAGAACTTTGGAGTGACCCTGGACAACACCCTGTCGTTCTCTGCAAACATCAAAGCAGTGACTCGCTCATGCAAGTTCATGCTCTACAACATCCATAGAGTACGACCTTTCCTCACGCAGGAAGAGGCACTTGTCATCTCCCGTCTGGACTACTGCAACTCTGTTGACTGGGCTCCCCGCTTGTGCCATCAAACCCCTGGAACTTATCCAGAACGCCTCAGCCCACTTGATATTCAACCTTCCCAAGTTCTGTCATGTCACCCCTCTCCTCTGCACACTCCACTGGCTTCCAGTCAAAGCTTGCATCCACTACAAGACCATGGAACTGCCCCTCCGTACCTTCAGGCTATTGTCAAACCCTACACCCAAACCCTGAGCACTCCGTTCTGCCACCTCTGGTCTCCTGGCCGTCCCACCACTACAGGGGGTCAGCTCCCTTTTAGCCCAGTCAAACGTCTTCACTGTCCTGGCACCCCAATGGTGGAAGGGAGGGGCAGTTCCACCATTGGGGTGCCAGGACAGAGAAGACGTTTGACTGGGGTCTGGAGACTCTGCCCATCTTCTGAAAATGTCTGAAACCCCACCTCTTCAAAGAGTATCTTAAATAAGACATCTCTTATCCCCCCCCCCCCCCCCCCCCCCCCAACTGATGTTGGTCATTTCATGTTTTGAAAGCACTTATATTGAAACAGAGGCAGAGGTCATTAGAGGAGTATGTCTTAAAAGAGAACCAGCACATTTTTGTTGCCCAAAAGTCACATTTTGAATCAATGATTTTGCAAAAGTTTTTAGTGATGTCATCTCGAAAAGAATTTCACAAAGAACAACTCCAGGTTGATTCATCCCAGCAAAGCCAACCATCTGACCATCCTTACCAACCCTGTGTTGCAGGTCGAGTGTGGTAGCCAATCAGCAGTCAGTGTCCCAGGAGGAGCTCTGCAGCGCCTCCGACAGGCAGGAGCCTTACACTGTGGCGGAGTCAGGCTCAGGTTCAGGGCCAGGGGTCGGAGTGTTTGAGATGGCCAAGGAGACTAGGTACTGTGTGGTCTGCAGCGACTATGCCTCCGGGTACCACTACGGAGTTTGGTCCTGCGAGGGCTGCAAAGCCTTCTTCAAAAGGAGCATCCAAGGTAAGCCTCTCATCCCTACTACTATATTCCACGTCACTTCCAAACATTTATCTCCTTCTATTCACTGTATCAGTGGTCCTGAGTGCATCCTAACATTTAAAATGAATATCTAAGCCCTCTTAGCAATAAGGGTGCCACAAATATAGCACAGAATTCCCCATTCATCACTGTACTCTATTAAAAGTTTGTAAAAGTGATGAGCGTGTAACTCATCTGACTGCCACCCAACGTTCCCTCTAAGCTGCGCGCTAGCAGTAGCCCCGCGAAGCTCCCCCAGCACTGCCGTGCAGAAATATCAGCCCACAGAGAGAAGCACGAGATTGAACTTCACTCAACTTTCTAGAGCAGTGGTCACGTCGATCTCCAAGGCATTCCTAGCCAAACATTTTAGTGAAAAAAACGAACGATAAAGCCTTGTGTTCCTATTTTTTCCTGTTGCCAGTAGGTGTACCCGAATCAGCTGCCCTGTGCGCTGGGTAGGCGAACTGTTGCCATTTTGAACCATTTGATGTATCCGAAGGTACAAACTCTGCCATCCTGGCAGGCCCAGAGAGCAAATCAAGTGCACTATAGGGCTACCACTTGCCAACCGGATGGCTCAGATTATTGTGTCTGCAGTAACATAACAGGCATAACAGCAAAATTGATACTGTGAGATTTCAAAACGTTTAAAACCATGACTAGAGAGAGACTATCAACAAATACAGCAAAGAGCTGCTGTTTTTATGAGTGAGTTCCAGTGGAGGCTGCTGAGGGGAGGACAGCTCAAAATAATGGCTGGACAGAGTTAATGGAATGGCATCAAACACATGGAAACTATGTGTTTGATGTATTTGATACCATTCCATGAATTCCGCTCCATCCATTAAAATAAGCCCGTCCTCCCCAATTAAGGTGCCACCAACCTCCTGTGGTGAGTTTATGTTTAAGTTCTTACTCAGCACTGTCAACACTTTGTATTCAACACTTTTAAAAGCCAAAAAATGCATGTTCTTTCTATATCCACTCAGCGCTACAACAAGCACTGCAGCAATAATGAATGAGTAGGAAAGTGTATCTTTGGGCTTGCATTGTTATTATTAGCGGCTTGGGTCTTTTTTTAATATCGAGGCATATAACATTTTTCTCATAGGAGTAACAACATGAATTTTTGCAAGAGGCAAAAAGAATGTGGTGTGACTCGAGTTTCGCCATCAGCTGGAAGACGGTGTCCCTTTTTGGTTATTGTCAGTGGAGGAAAGGGACATGCACTGCTCAGCCCGTACTCTACACAGACCAGTGCGGCATAAACAATCAGAGCTGCAGTAGGCCTTTATGCAAATAGACCATTAACATATATGGATCTGTGCCATTTACTTTGAACTGGATTGTGTTTACAGCATGAGCGGTCGTGAGTAGATGTGCTTGTTTTGAGATCAAAGCGAGAGCTGCTTGTAGCCACGTGTGCACATTTAGTTCATATCCTTTGCTAGTTAGTGAGTTATTAGCCCAGTTATAGATCATTTGTAGTCAGCAATAGGGGAGTGATTGCTTCCTACAAGAGCACAAAACGTGTACATTTCTAGACATCTTTGAAAAGCGAGTCAGGTAAAGAGCTTTTTTTTTTGTCTTAAAGGGGCAGTGTTGTATTTTGAGACAGGCTTGAATAAGCTAATTAGCCAATAGGCAGAGGGTAGCATAATTTGTCTGATTCTCTGTAATAATGGTATGAGAATAATAATGCATTTTATTTTGTAAATTGGTTTCTTGCATCAAAAAACACAACAGCATTTTCAGTCACCTCCTTGTCTGAAGGACAAGTGGATAAACAGGTTAATGTCAAGCCCTGCATGTTTTTTTCAAAATTCTCATGGAATGTAGGCCTACATAGAACATCACACATTGCCTGCTACTGTAGGCTGAATGATAGAACAGCTATTTCCATGTTAAAATGTTATGGGATGCGTTTTCTCCATTGTTTTTGCTGGTAGGCCACTCTGGTAGGCACACATTATGATCAAATAGCCACAGTAGCACACATGGCCACTGTTAAAACTGTATCTCAAAGGGGGTACAGCCTCAGTGTTTCACAGTAAACACGCTCTGGAAGTTGCACAGAATTTTCACAATTCTATTTTATGACTTTGTGGCTGTGCCAGCTAGTGACCACTCTGTAGAGCTGCCTCAAGAATAAGATTCATGACCAAAAACGCCAACCTGCTCATTTTCAGCTCTTATTATAAGCTGTTCAGAAGGTGAGGGCACATTAGTATTATTGCGAAACCAACCTTGACGTTGGCTGTTAGTTGTTCCTGATTCCCAGCCAGCTTCAGACCTCTTAGAGAGAAGACCATCGAAGTGTAACTGTCATTTACCAGGACCACTTTAGTGCTATTGCTGAAGGTACACTGGGTGTATAGAAGGAACTAAACAAAGAGAACAGAAAGACTGAATTAAGGGAAAAGATGTCATAACATTCCTTTCTTATCTGAATGAGAATGAGGGTCTATAGCTTTTTTTGCAAGTGTCTTGTGTAGGAGGTCTTATGCCATAGATGTAGACAGTTTTCATCAATATTGAAATAGAAAACATTGTAAAACCATATTCTAATGTTCTTTCAAAGTTGAATAGGCTGTCCTAGGTAGCGGAGTTCATTTTACCTTGTAAGGCAGAGGAATCTTAAATTACATTTCAGGATGTTTCGAGAGGGTGGACATCACACAACAAAATACACATAATCAGAACATCGTAGATACTACATTTGAATTCCCTCTATGCCAGAGAGATATGAAAAAACTGGTGTTCCTCTCTGTCATATAACATCAACCTGTGTGCCAGTCCCAGTGACTGGATCACAATAATGTTTTATTCCAGGTCACAATGACTACATGTGCCCTGCGACCAATCAGTGCACCATCGACAGGAACCGTAGGAAGAGCTGCCAGGCATGCCGCCTCAGAAAGTGTTACGAAGTGGGCATGATGAAAGGAGGTGAGTAAGGGAACACAATGGTGCACACACACACACACACACACACACACACACACACACACACACACACACACACACACACACACAGCTTACAGTTTGGTTTGGCTTGCCTCAGTAGTGTGGAAAGGGTAGTATCAGTTAAGACTGCTTGATACTGAAAGGACAGGCGGTGTGTGGCTAAGCATTGTGTGTGCAGATAAAATAGAGACTGATTTTACCATGGCCTTGAACCACTTTTCTCTGATGGAGGTAGAGGGTTGATTAGTAGTTTCTTCATGCAGTCGCAAAAACCATCATGCGCTATGATGAAACTGGCTCTCATGAGGACCGCCACAGGAATGGAAGCCGCAGAGTTACCTCTGCTGCAGAGGATACGTTCATTAGAGTCAACTGCACCTCAGATTGCAGCCCAAATAAACGTTTCACAAAGTTCAAGTAACAAACACATCTCAACATCAACTATTCAGAGGAGACAGCGTGAATCAGGCCTTCAGGGTCGAAATGCTGCAAAGAAACCACTACTAAAGGACACCAATAATAAGAAGAGACTTGCTTGGGCCGAGAAACACGAGCTATGGACATTATACCGGTGGAAATATGTCCTTTGGTCTGATCCAACCGCTGTGTCTTTGTGAGACGCAGAGTAGGTGAACGGATGATCTACGCATGTGTGGTTCCCACCGTGAAGCATGGAAGAGGAGGTGTGATGGTGTGGGGGTGCTTTGCTGGTGACACTGTCAGTGATTTATTTAGAATTCAAGGCACACTTAACCAGCATGGCTGCCACAGCATTCTGCAGCGTATCACATCTGGTTTGCGCTCAGTGGGACTATAATTTGTTATTCATCAGGACAATGACCCAACACAACTCCAGGCTATGTAAGGGCTATTTGACCAAGGAGAGTGATGGAGTGTTTATCAGATGACCTGGCCTTCACAATCAACCGACCTCAACCCAATTGAGATGGTTTGGGATGAGTTGGACCGCAGAGTGAAGGAAAAGCAGCCAACAAGTGCTCAGCAAATGTGGGAACTCCTTCAAGACTGTTGGAAAAGCATTCCTCATGAAGCTGGTTGAGAAAATGCTAAGAGTGTGCAAAGCTGTCATCAAGGCAAAGGGTGGCTACTTTGAAGAATCTAAAATATATTTTGATTTGTTTTACACTTTTTTGGTTACTACATGATTCCATATGTGTGATTTCATAGTTTTGATGTATTCACTATTATTCTACAATGTAGAAAATATAAAAAATAAAGAAAAACCCTTGAATGAGTAGGTGTGTCAAAACTTTTGACTGGTACTGTATGTGTGTGTGTGCATGCGTGTGTGGTCTTTACTAACTCTACTCTAAACCCCAGGCTTGCGGAAGGACCGCGGTGGGCGGGTTCTCCGGAGGGATAAGCGGCGTTGTGACCCTGCTGGTGACAACAGTGTCCTGGAGCACAGCACAGCGCCCCCTCAGGATAGTAGCAGGAACAGCAGCAGCAGCCTCGGTGGTGGAGGAGGAGGAGGAGGGGGCGGGCCCAGGATCACCATGCCTCCTGAACAGGTCTGAAAATGTCATTGGCTTCCTCCATTTCATATATCTCCAATGTAGCCACTTTCACAAAGCAACAGTCCTAAACAAGTCAGTTAATATAAATTAACACGTAAGTGGAAACACAAAGTAACACACAAAGTACCAGGATCATTATCTTACTCGCAGGCAATCATAACCACGGGTAAAATTGGCAGTGAATGCGTGGTGCCATACTTCCTGCTCTCCTCCCCCAGGTGCTGTTCCTGCTGCAGGGTGCGGAGCCTCCAGCCCTGTGTTCTAGTCAGAAGTTGGCCCGCCCCTACACAGAGATCACCATGATGACCCTGCTCACCAGCATGGCTGACAAGGAGCTGGTGCACATGATCGCCTGGGCTAAGAAAGTACCAGGCAAGAACCTAACACGGCACAGAAATTATACTGTATACGATGTCGTAATGTAACATTGTCATTACACCATCTAGATGTTACTAGGCAGAGAAGTAAAATCACTCCAACAAGGCTTCAATAGTACTAATTTTCTCTCTCACACACACACAGACAGACACACACACAAAATACACACACACACAGAGTAGACCCTTACGCACTCCAAGACTACAGCCTTCACACGGCTGCTTACGCAACCACTCTCCTCCTATGGTGGCAGGCCTTGGTAGTGACAGTGACCGGGTGCTGAGGTTGTACACACGCACACACACACTGGGACATTACAGGCATTATGTTGATGATTACAGTCACCACCTCAGAAAGGGTTATTTGGGCAAATCCACTGCCACCCCATGGAACCTAACCGTAGTACAAATACACACACACACACACACACACACACACACCTCCCCCCGACACTGTCCCAGTGTGCGTCACTATGAGCACGAAAGCACACAGTTTTAGGAGTCTTTAGCCGGGTACAGAGAGGAAAAATGGAAGGGAATGGGATGTAATTGGATATGAATTAGGACAGCTGAGTTGTGCTGATAAGGACCCACTCCAGCAAAGGGATTGCAGATTGGCCAATTCACAATGGCTGTTGTGTGGCAAGGTTGTAAGAAGTTTGAAGCATAGCATTTATCTTTACCTAAGAATTCAGATCAAAGAAAAACGTTATGCTGGAAAGATACAACTATCACATGATAACATACATATTGAAATGTTTCAACCAGAAGCTTCAACCAGTGGTCCAGTCAATCACAGATTAAAGGAAATTATCACTTTCATTACTTTGCAATTGCAGTGTGTGCGGGAGCTTCTTTCCTTTGAATGACAATTTTACTATTACTATTAATATGTGATGTGGCCATCTTAAAGTGGTTGAATGGACTAGTGGTTAATGTATGGTCGATAGTGGGTTTATATATGGTTTGACCACAGTGTGACCGTGTCTTTGGTACTGGTAGGTTTCCAGGAGCTGTCTCTCCATGACCAGGTGCAGTTGCTTGAGAGTTCCTGGCTGGAGGTGCTGATGATCGGACTCATTTGGAGGTCCATCCACTGCCCTGGGAAACTAATCTTCGCCCAGGACCTCATACTGGACAGGTGGGTACATACACACATAAAATATATTGTATGAGACAAAAATCAACATTGTAGATGTCCACTTTGCATCTTGTCTGTGTACCTCTACTAAAGGCCATGTCACAATGAGTCTAATTATGATGTTCCCCATGGAGAAAGAAACACACTGTCTCACCTGCACAAGTCACCGTCATTACACATTAACGTTGGCAGAGAGGAGTGAAATGTAATCAAAATGGTGACTCTTGGGAAAGATGGAAAAAGCATGCGAGACAGCATGAGAGGAAGGGGGGAAAGAGAGGGCGTATTTTGCACGCACAGCCTGTTCCTTCCATTTCCACCCACCATGTTCAAAGTAAACAAGTTGCACAGAGCTGCAGACCCTTCCTAAGGCGAAAGAGGGAGAGGATTAAATGAAAGAAGGAGAGAGGAAGATGGGCTGTTACTCTCTCTCTCTTTGATGTCTGTGATGTTCCCATTTGATCTGAGTTGTTTTCTAGAGCATTACTTCTGAAACCAGGTCTATAGCTACTAGACACTTTGACATGAGGAGTAAAATGGTGCAGGAGAGGTGGGAAGGCTGTTGGAGTTAGGGGGCAACTATCAAACTTATTCTAAATGGCTGCTCTTCAGAAATACTGTATGATTATTGCTCTTCCCCTGACCACCATCTCTGGTCCAGTGCTGCAGTCACTCAGAGTTTCACTGTACTTTACTTATGTCTCATTCTGAGCCATATGGAAAATAATCATTAAAAACATATAAGGATGTTGAATGGCAGAAGAAGATTATTTGTACAAAAATCTAATTTGTAGCCTATCTGGTAAGATTTTGTATGTTTTACCTTATATGTCAGTAGTGTATTTGTATATGTGTTAACTTACACTGAGTATACAAAACATTAAGAACACCTGCTCTTTCCATGATAGACTGACCAGGTGAAAGCTATGATCCCTTATTGATTTCACTTGTTAAATCCACTTCAAACAGTGTAGATGATTGGTAGTTACAGTCTTGTCCCATTGCTGCAACTCCGGTATGGACTCGGGAGAGGCCAAGGTCGAGAGCCATGCGTCCTCCAAAACACAACCCTGCCAAGCCGCACTGCTTCTTGACACACTGTTCGCTTAACCCGGAAGCCAGCCGCACAAATGTGTCAGAGGAAACACTGTACAACTGGCGACCGTGTCAGAGTGCATGCGCCCTGCCACAGGAGTCGCTAGAGCGCGATGGGACTAGGACATCCCGGCCAGCCAAACCATCTCCTAACCCACACGACGATGGGCCAATTGTGCGCCGCCTCATGGGTCTCCCGGTTGCAGCTGCCTGCGACACAGCAGATCAAACCCGGGTCTGTAGTGATGCCTCAAGCACTGCGATACAGTGACTTAGACCGCTGCGCCACTCGGGAGGCCAAAATAAGGATTTTAAGCCTCGAGACAGTTGAGACATGGATTGTGTATGTGTGCCATTGAAGACAAAACATTTAAGTGCTTTTAAACAGGGCGCACTGGTTTTTGTCAAGAACTGCAACACTGCTGGGTTTTTCACGCTCAACAGTTTCCTGTGTGTTTCAAGAATTGTCCACCACCAAAAGGACATCTAGCCAACTTGACACAACTGTGGGAAGCATTGGAACGCTTTCAACAACTTGTAGAGTCCATGCCCCGATGAATTGAGGCTGTTCTGAGTGGGGACGAGGAAACTCAATATTAGGAAGGTGATCCTAATGTTTGGTATACTCTGTGTACAGTCGTGGTCAAAAGTTTTGAGAATGACACTAGTATTGGTCTTCACAAAGTTTGCTGCTTCAGTGTTTTTAGATATTTTTGTCAGATGTTACTATGGTATACTGAAGTATAATTACAAGCATTCCATAAGTGTCAAAGGCTTTTATTGACAATTACATTAAGTTTATGCAAAGAGTCAATATTTGCAGTGTTGACCCTTCTTTTTCAAGACCTCTGCAATTCACCCTGGCATGCTGTCAATTAAGTTCTGGGCCACATCCTGACTGATAGCAGCCCATTCTTGCATAATCAATGCTTGGAGTTTCTCCGAATTTGTGGGTTTTTGTTTGTCCACCTGCCTCTTGAGGATTGACCACAAATTCTCAATGGGATTAAGGTCTGGGGAGTTTCCTGGCCATTGACCCAAAATTTGTTTTGTTCCCCGAGCCACTTAGTTATCACTTTTGCATTATGGCAAGGTGCTCCATCATGGTGGAAAAGGCATTGTTCGTCACCAAACTGTTCTTGGATGGTTGGGAGAAGTTGCTCTTGGAGGATGTGTTGGTTTGGTACCCTTCTTTATTCATGGCTGTGTTCTTAGGCAAAATTGTGAGTGAGCCCACTCCCTTGGCTTAGAAGCAACCCCACACATGAATGGTCAAAGGATGCTTTACTGTTGGCATGACACAGGACTGATGGTAGCGCTCACCTTGTCTTCTCCGGACAAGCTTTTTTCCGGATGCCCCAAACAATCGGAAAGGGGATTCATCAGAGAAAATGACTTTACCCCAGTCCTCAGCAGTCCAATCCCTGTACCTTTTGCAGAATATCAGTCTGTCCCTGATGTTTTTCCTGGAGAGAAGTGGCTTCCTCGCTGCCCTTCTTGACACCATGCCATCCTCCAAAAGTCTTCGCCTCACTGTGCATGCAGATGCACTCACACCTGCCTGCTGCCATTCCTGAGCAAGCTCTGCACTGGTGGTGCCCCGATCCCGCAGCTGAATCAACTTTAGGAGATGGTCCTGGCGCTTGCTGGACTTTCTTGGGCGCCCTGACGCCTTCTTCACAACAATTGAACCTCTCTCCTTGAAGTGCTTGATGATCCGATAAATGGTTGATTTAGGTGCAATCTTACTAGCAGTAATATCCATGCCTGTGAAGCCCTTTTTGTGCAAAGCAATGATGACGGCACATGTTTCCTTGCAGGTAACCATGGTTAACAGAGGAAGAACAATGATTTCAAGCACCACCTTCCTTTTAAAGCTTCCAGTCTGTTATTCTAACTCAATCAGCATGACAGAGTGATCTCCAGCCTTGTCCTCGTCAACAATCTCACCTGTGCTAACGAGAGAATCACTGACATGATGTCAGCTGGTCCTTTTGTGGCAGGGCTGAAATGCAGTGGAAATGTTTTTTGGGGATTAAGTTCATTTTCATGGCAAAGAGGGACTTTGCAATTAATTGCAATTCATCTGATCACTCTTCATAACATTCTGGAGTATATGCAAATTGGCATCATAAAACCTGAGGCGGCAGACTTTGTGAAAATTCATATTTATGTCATTCTCAAAACTTTTGACCACGACTGTATATGCCTTATATGACATACACAATTCGCTACATGATTTTCAGCTTCCAGGAATTGTGTACAGATCCTTGTGACTTGGGGCCTTGCATTATCATGCTGAAACATGAGGTGATGGCGGCGGATGAATGGCACAACAATGGGCCTCAGGACCTCGTCACGGTATCTCTGTGTATTGAAATTGCCATCGGTAAAATTAAATTGTGTTCGTTGTCTGTAGCTTATGCTTACCCATACCATAACCCCACCATGGGGCACTTTGTTCACAACGTTGACATCAGCAAACCGCTCGCCCACACGACCACATACACGTGGTCTGCCAAATTTTCTAAAACAACGTTGGAGGCAGCTTATGACGGCTCAATTCTCTGGCAACAGCTCTGGTGGACATTCCTGCAGTCAGAATGCCAATTGCACGGTCCCTCAAAACTTGAGACATCTGTGGTATTGTGTTGTGTGAGAAAACTGCACATTTTAGAGTGGCCTTTTATTGTCCCTAGCACAAGGTGCACCTGTGTATTGATCATGCTGTTTAATCAGCTTCTTAATATGCCACACCTGTCAGGTGGATGGATTATCTTGGCAAAAGTGAAATGCTCACTAACAGGGATGTAAACAAATTTGTGCACATCATTTGAGAGAAATAAGCTTTTTGTGCGTATGGAACATTTCTGGGATCTTTTATTTCAGCTCATGAATCATGGGACCAACACTTTACATGTTGCGTTTATATTTTTGTTCAGTGCATAAGAAAAGTGTATGTTCTGACAATGTAACTTCTACAAAATAAATGCTTTTCTTATAGGTTTCACATTGTTTTTATAAGTCAACATATAAAAAAAACATGACAATTACTATATTTGTATATACATTTTCAGGTATGAGTTTCCATTGTTAAGGCATCTCCTACTGGACAGTTGATTTATCTACAGCTATGCCTTTGGTCTCCCATCCAGGGTTTTAACCAAGCCCTGCTTAGCTTTGATATTTGTCACTTACTTTTAGCAATGTGCTATCGTGAGATTAATTGTTGAGGGATCTCCACATAATAATGAAATAGATTCACTGCTGCTATCGAAGTCATTCCTCTCCTCCCCCTCCTACTTCGCATCCCCCTCTTTTCCCCCTTCTCTCCACCTCCTCTCCTCCCCATCTTTCTCCCCCTCCTCCTCTCCTCCCCCTCTTCTCCCCCTCTTCTTCCTCCTCCTCCTCCTCCTCTCCTTCTGCTTTCCTCTTTCCTCCTGCTCCTCCTCGTGGCAGACTTAGCTGCTTTCTTCAATAAGTGTGACGTTGCGTGCATCTCTGACATCAGACAGTGCTATGCAAGTGCTTTGAAATGTGTATGTCCCATGTATGTGAGACCTTAGCAGGCTTAGCTTACATGTCTCTTGTATGTTTTTATACAATACATGCAGCATTTATGTTATGTCTACATGTTACCCACCCATATAAGTCAGATATTACAAGAATCTAATATGAATCTTGTATGTGTATTTGCTGCCATATGTATTACATACAAGTTCCAGGTAAAACATACAGGAATCTTGTTAAATTCTTCTCTATCTTTTCCATATGGGGATCTTTGACCTCCAGGAGTGAAGGGGACTGTGTGGAGGGCATGGCTGAGATCTTTGACATGCTCCTGGCCACTGTGTCTCGCTTCCGCATGCTCAAACTAAAGCCTGAGGAGTTTGTGTGTCTCAAAGCCATCATCTTGCTTAACTCTGGTGAGTGTGTTTGTGTGTTATTATAAGCTGTTAAAGATGCTTTGCTTAGTATGTTTTGTGGTTGTGAGTGTGACATGAGTTCAATCCTGGGTTAGCCTTGGCTGGGATTGAGAATCTTACAAGTGTGTGTGATACAAAAACATCTCCATTAAGATTTTGTTGTCCACTCACAAATATGTTTTTTCTGTTTGGGGCAGATTCCGACCCGAGTTAAGTGTGCATAAATGGAACAAAATTCCCATTTCATGCACATTTCTCTCTTCGCGTATTCTGACCTTGAATTTAAGCATGAGAATAGCATGCCATTCACCCGCTGTTCGTTTTGGGTGGAGATGAAAGAAATGAGGTTGTGTTGGTGTGTATAGATATGCTGTATTCTGACCTTGACTTAATTCCCTCATAATTCCACCAACTTTACTGGTGACGAAACAATGAATAAGGTCGAGTAACCTGTCGGTTCCAAGTGGAACAACATCTACTTTCCTTTTTCCTATAGAAATAACACCATTCTACATGCACTGTACAAATTGAGAAGAGCTATTGATAAGAGCTAGGTAAATGAGTAAGTTTGGATAAGGGGATTGTAAATATAAATGTTATTTTTAGATCTATTTTACTGTACGGTCACTGGAGACAAATGTGAAGCCAGTCATGTGGCAGCAAACTGAAGCATATCAACATATCACCTTTAAAAAATTTTACAGTGACGTTTATGAAATGCTGGCCTTGCAGGATGACATTTGGAGACCCAACCTATAGGCTTCTGTAGCCATGCGCAAATGACAGTATAACGCCAAACCTACCGAGTTGATATGTGATTTCACTCAATTTTTTACAATTTGTATCTTGTTAAATATTAGCCACTATCGCTAGCAACCTTCAGTTATACCCACATAGGCCTTCATTTATAACTGTCACTTTAGTGTTAGTTTCCTTACATTTTGCATCATTCCATTCCATAGTTTACCTTTCCTTCCTCTGTCACATTCATGTGGTTGTTCCTGAGGATCGCTAGCAATAGTGGATCATATTTATTTTATTTTTATTTTTTATTTAACCTTTATTTAACCAGGTAAACCAGTTGAGAACCAGTTCTCATTTACAACTGCGACCTGGCCAAGATAAAGCAAAGCAGTGCGATAAAAACAACAACACAGAGTTACATATGGGGTAAAACAAAACATAAAGTAAAGAATACAACAGAAACTATATATACAGTGTGTGCAAATGTAGCAAGTTATGGAGGTAAGGCAATAAATAGGCCATAGTGCAAAATAATTACAATTAGTATTAACACTGGAATGATAGATGTGCAAAAGATGATTTGCAAATAGAGATATTGGGTGCAAATGAGCAAAATAAATAACAATATGGCGATGAGGTAGTTGGGTGGGCTAATTTCAGATGGGCTGTGTACAGGTGCAGTGATCGGTAAGGTGCTCTGACAACTGATGCTTAAAGTTAGTGAGGGAGATAAGAGTCTCCAGCTTCAGAGATTTTTGCAGTTCGTTCCAGTCATTGGCAGCAGAGAACTGGAAGGAATGGCGGCCAAAGGAGGTGTTGGCTTTGGGGATGACCAGTGAGATATACCTGCTGGAGCGCATACTACGGGTGGGTGTTGCTATGTTGACCAATGAGCTAAGATAAGACAGGGATTTGCCTAGCAGTGAATTATAGATGGCCTGGAGCCAGTGGGTTTGGCGACGAATATGTAGTGAGGACCAGCCAACAAGAGCGTACAGGTCACAGTGGTGGGTAGTATATGGGGCTTTGGTGACAAAATGGATGGGACTGTGATAGACTACATTCAATTTGCTGAGTAGAGTGTTGGAGGCTATTTTGTAAATGACATCGCCGAAGTCAAGTATCGGTAGAATAGTCCGTTTTACGAGGGCATGTTTGGCTTTGTTGAGAAATAGGAAGCCGATTCTAGATTTAACTTTGGATTGGAGATGCTTAATGTGAGTCTAGAAGGAGAGTTTACAGTCTAACCAGACACCTAGGTATTTATAGTTGTCCACATACTCTAGGTCAGTCCCGTCGAGAGTAGTGATTCTAGTCGGGTGGGCGGGTGCCAGCAGCGTTCGATTGAAGAGCATGGATTTAGTTTTACTAGTGTTTAAGAGCAGTTTGAGGCTACGGAAGGAGTGTTGTATGGCATTGAAGCTCGTTTGGAGGTTTGTTGACACAGTGTCCAATGAAGGGCCAGATGTATACAAAATGGTGTCGTCTGCGTAGAGGTGGATCTCAGAGTCACCAGCAGCAAGAGCGACATCATTGATATACACGAAGAAAATAGTCGGCCCAAGAATTGAACCCTGTGGCACCCCTATAGAGACTGCCATAGGTCCAGACAACAGGCCCTCCGATTTGATACATTGAACTCTATCTGATAAGTAGTTGGTGAACCAGGCGAGGCAGTCATTTGAGAAACCAAGGCTATTTAGTCTGCCAATAAGAATGCGGTGGTTGACAGAGTCGAAAGCCTTGGCCAGGTCGATGAAGACGGCTGCACAGTACTGTCTATTATCGATCGCGGTTATATTATTGTTTAGGACCTTGAGTGTGGCTGATGTGCACCCATGACCAGCTCGGAAACCGGATTGCATAGCGGAGAATGTACGGTGTGATTCTAAATGGTCGGTGATCTGTTTGTTAACTTGGCTTTCAAAAACTTTCGAAAGGCAGGGCAGGATGGATATAGGTCTGTAACAGTTTGGATCTAGAGTGTCACCCCCTTTGAAGAGGGGGATGACCGCGGCAGCTTTCCAATCTCTGGTGATCTCAGACGTTACGAAAGAGAGGTTGAACAGGCTAGTAATAGGGGTTGCGACAATTTCGGCGGCTCATTTTAGAAAGTAAGGGTCCAGATTGTCTAGCCCAGATGATTTGTAGGGGTCCAGATTTTGCAGCTCTTTCAGAACATCAGCTGTCTGAATTTGTGTGAAGGAGAAGCGGGGGGTCATGGGCAAGTTGCAGCGGAGGGTGCAGAGCTGGTGGCCGGGGTAGTGGTAGCCAGGTGGAAAGCATGGCCAGCCGTAGCAAAATGCTTGTTGAAATTCTCGATTATTGTAGATTTATCGGTGGTGATAGTGTTTCCTAGCCTCAGTGCAGTGGGCAGCTGGGAGGAGGTGCTCTTATTCTCCATGGACTTTACAGTGTCCCAAAACGTTTTGGAGTTAGTGCTACAGGATGCAAATTTCTGTTTGAAAAAGCTAGCCTTTGCTTTCCTAACTGCTTGTGTTTATTGGTTCCTAACTTCCCTGTAGAGTTGCATATCGCGGGGGCTATTCAATGTTAATGCAGTACGCCACAGGATGTTTTTGTGCTGGTCAAGGGCAGTCAACTCTGAGGAGAACCAGGGGCTATATCTGTTCTTAAGCTAACATATTATAATTTGTGCATTAATTTGGGACATGTAGCCTATTTGAATCATTATGGAACGCAGACCATAGGTAGCAGTTTAAACCTGGAGCCTGGCACACGGCGACTAGAATGTTGTTATCACAGTTCCATGATTAGTGCAGATTATTAGGGTAGATTTATAGGACTACTGTTCAACCCCTATTGTACACTTTTGTCATCTTCCAATATTTAATGGCTTGAACAATTGAATATGGAAACTTTCAGGATGAATCATGCCACTATAATTTTGATTCACCAATATATTTTGTGCGTAAAGGCTCTTCAAACCATTTTTTGATTCATTATTCATAAATACTTTCATAACCCTAAATTATATACAAGGTCAGAGTATTTTTAAATCCACCAATTGGTGCTGAAAAGGAGATGAATATGTGTGTATTTATGCCTACATGGCTTTCTTTCATTGATCCCTAATATTCTGAACCGTTCTCTCCATATATTCTGAGTCTGTCGAGAAAATTCTAATTAAAAGGTACACCAAATTTAAAGGGATGGCTTTAGATAAATGTACTGAAAACCATGTTGAATGAAAACTAAACTATAACGTCTGTTGGCCAGCAAGTGGGAGGGTTTTCAGTAGGTGAATTACATTTATTCAGCACGCGCAAGGGAACCACGCCTGCAAAGCCCGTTTAAATGTAAGTCTGAATAGCAACTACTGATAAGTGCGTAGGAATGGCGTGAGTTAGAAAGAAGTAGTTTCCTAAGTCTGAATCGGCCACTTTATGAACATAGAGTAGTAACTAATGCATTCTGTTGCCCATTAGTAAATGTTGAAGGGTGAACTCTGTTTTTATGCCACTCAAGAGCGTTAGGTGTGAACAGAATGATCCCAAGTCCTTCTTTCTCAATGTACCCCATAATTGTTACCATGACAACTGGGCCTGCTGTTCTATGTGTGTTGACTGAGCGAAACTCCTATGTTTGTTTTGATACTGACTAATCTGTAAGAGACATAAATACCTGAGCAATGGGTGCTGTTGCACGTTTCTGTGTATGGCTTCCTGATGTTCTTACTGATTGCTGAGTTAGCAGTTGCTGCATTGAGAACATCAGGCTCTTCCCCTTTCCCTGTCTGTCTCTTTTTTTCTTTACTAAAACCCTTACAAAATCAATTTTAGGTACAATAACCACTTCTCTGTCTCTCTCCTCATCCCCTCTAGGTGCCTTCTCCTTCTGTTCTTACTCTGTGGAGTCCCTCCACAACAGCCAGGCGGTGCAAAGCATGCTGGACAACATCACTGACGCCCTCATCCACCACATCAGCCAATCAGGAGCCTCGGTGCAGCAGCAGTCCAGACGGCAGGCCCAGCTCCTGCTCCTGCTCTCACACATCAGACATATGAGGTGAGGAGGGCACTCTACGTAGGGGAGGAGCACAAAGGAGGGGGGAAGAGGATAAGGGGAATGTGGTTAGGAGACTGCTGTTTTTCTCACACGTCAGACACATTATATGAGGAGTTCAAACTACACACGAGGGGGCACACACTCCTGATGGTGTAAATTCAGATTCTGAAAGTGAAGAAGCAGGTTAGACCTAGGCAAAGGGAATGTTCATATTATCTGCCAGTTATATACAGTATGATCATCACTTATTTGGTTATACCCATAGATTATATTTCTGTGGTTATTAATATCCCCTCTCACTCCTCCTCTTCTCTCCTCTCTGTAGCAACAAAGGCATGCAGCACCTGTACAGCATGAAGTGTAAGAACAAAGTGCCTCTGTACGACCTGCTCCTGGAGATGCTGGATGCTCACCGGATCCACTCCCCAGGCAAGGTGGCCCAAGCCTGGGGACAGGCCAAGGGGGAGCCCCTCTCTACCACCACTACCACCTCCAACGACTCCAGCATAGGACCCAAGCGAGGCAACCAGGATACCCAGCTCAGAAGCGTCAGTCCTGGGGTACTCCAGTATGGCACTCCCCCCTCTGACAGGAGCCCCATTCCATGATGACATACAGAAATTGGTATTTGTAGATATGGAAGCTGTAAAAGTCCTTCCATTAGATACAGTATATGTAGAGGAATATTTTGACATTTGTGGAGGTCACAATAGATAAAAAAAGATACATGAATGCACTTGTTATTTGTGATATTTGTTTATAATTTATGCAAATAATGTAATAGACAGTTTAAATTATTTAGCAGATATCCGTTGAATGTTTAGACATGTTCACATTTTGTACTGGCACACTACGGACTGAAATGTACTCCGTCACACCAGATGTTGCCTTTCACAACATTTAGAAACTTTTGAGTAAATTGTTTTCTGTGGCTTTAGCAGCAGTTTCACCATTGTGCAGCTTCGTACCAAGTATATATAGTGAAGCGCACTGTTAGCAGCAGAGACTCTTGATAGAGAGGAGCTAGTCAATGTTGATCAGTGCATTATACCCTGTGGACACCAGTTTTGCGTGCCTTGACCAAAGTGCACGTCTCAAGTTGAGGGAAATTTGGGCATTGTATACCTTTTGTAGTTTAAAATTAATGATCACTTATAATACTATGGCTTGTGAAAGTATTTACCCCCTTGGCATTTTTCCTATTTTGTTGCCTTACAACCTGGAATAAAAATGGATTTTGGGGGGGTTTGTATAATTTGATTTACACAACATGCCTACCACTTTGAAGATGCAAAAATGTTTTGGGGTGAAACAAACAAGAAATAAGACAAAAAAACAGAAAACTTGAGCGTGCATAAGTATTCACCCCACCAAAGTCATTACTTTGTAGAGCCACCTTTTGCAGCAATTACATCTGCAAGCCTCTTGGGGTATGTCTCTATAAGCTTGGCACATCTAGCCACTGGGATTTTTGCCCATTCTTCAAGGCAAAACTGCTCCAGCTCCTTCAAGTTGGATGGGTTCTGCTGGTGTATAGCAATCTTTAAGTCATACCACAGATTCTCAATTGGATTTCCAATCCCATCTGGTTTGGGCTTAGTGGGACTATCATTTGTTTTTCAACAGGACAATGACCAAACACACCTCCAGGCTGTGCAAGGGCTATTTTACCAGGAAGGAGAGGGAAGGAGTGCTGCATCAGATGACCTGGCCTCCACAATCCCCCGACCTCAACCCAATTGAGATGGTTTGGGATGAGTCGGACCGCAGAGGGAAGGAAAAGCAGCCAACAGGTGCTCAGCATATGTGGGAACTCCTTCAAGACTGTTGGAAAAGCATTCCAGGTGAAGCTGGTTGAGAGAATGCCAAGAGTGTGCAAAGCTGTCTTCAAGGCAATTCGAAAAATCTCAAATATAAAATGTATTTTGATTTGTTTAACAATTTTTTGTTTACCATATGATCCTATATGTGTTATTTCATAGTTTTGTTGTCTTCATTATTATTCTACAATGTAGAAAATTGTAAAAAAAAAAGATAAACCCTTGAAAAAGAGTATGTGTCCAACTTTTGACTGGTACTGGTGTATATATATATATATATATATATATATATATATATATATATATATATATATATATATATATATATATATATATATATATATATATATATATATATATATATATATATATATATATATATAGCAATCCTATAAAAAATCTCAAATTAATAATATGCAACCATTCAAACAACTTCATTAGTATGAGTAGAAAAAACATATTTAACTTACCATTCTAAAGTGGCGTCTTCTCCTTCCAAAAACATATCTTCAGCTGTTGCGTCTAAACTGTATTCACTAAGTCCTCATCTACTGGTTCTGTGACATTTTCCCGGTCGATTTCTGCTATAATCTCGTCCAAATCTGTATACCTGGACTTTGATTTAGCTTTTCCAGTATTAGTAGCCATGTTGTACTTTCAAAATGTGCAGAAAACTGTTTACTAAATCGAGCTGTGCTTAACGCGATGCGCCACTTCCTTCTTTAGATTTACAGTGGACACTAAACCGCGTTTGCTCGTAATGAATACACAGGCTTTTCCTCAGACAATGGACCGTCTCATACTCCTGTAAATTCCAGCTCATTGGCTATCTAGCTAGCTATGTTTCAAAACGATAGGTGGTCATTGGTCCAAGATACAGTCAATTAAGTGAACACCACCCGCCTCATTGGTGAGTAATCATGTCAGTTCTTGGTGGGCTCAAATAGCTTTTGTGTAGCCTATAAGTCATGCAGAATGATGAAAAAAAGTGTGGTTGCCTTCTTGAGTATCTGAGGATCGCAGAAAAACTGAACTTGACTGGGTGAAACAAGATGTAGCGTATATATTATGTCGAAATGTTTTGTTGCAAGTTGAACGAGTCAGAATTCAGGCAACCGTACAATCGCTTGAAAATATAATGGACAAACTACAAGCGCGTATATCCTACGAACAGGACATTCAAAACCGTAATATCTTATGTTTCACCGAGTCGTGGCTGAACGACGACATGAATAACATACAGCTGGCTGGTTATACACTGTATCGGCAGGATAGAACAGCAGCCTCTGGCAAGACAAGGGGTGGCGGTCTATGTATATTTGTAAACAATAGCTGGTGCACGATATCTAAGGAAGTCTCAAGGCTTTTCTCTCCTGAGTTAGAGTATCTCATGATAAGTTGTAGGCCACACTATCTACCAAGACAGTTTTCATCTATATTCTTCGTAGCTGTCTATTTACCACCACAAACCGATGCTGGCACTAAGAACGCACTCAATGAACTGTATACGGCCATAAGCAAACAAAAAAAACGCTCATCCAGAGGTGGTGCTCCTAGTGGCCGAGGACTTTAATGCAGGGAAACTAAAATCAGTTTTACCTCATTTCTACCAGCTTGTTAAATGTGCAACCAGAGGGAAAAAAACTCTAGACCACCTTTACTCCACACATAGAGACGCGTACAAAGCTCTCCCTCGCCCTCCATTTGGCAAATCTGACCATAATTATATCCTCCTGATTCCTGCTGCTCTTTAATTATTTGTTACTTTTTTTTTCTTTTTTTATGTATTCTTTCTTAAAACTGCATTGTTGGTTAAGAGCTTGTAAGTAAGCATATGACAAATACAATTTGATTGATTTGATTTGATACAACATGGATCGTGTTAGGATATAAAACATTATTTTATCAAACAAAACAACTCTACATTTTATCTTTAGGTCCCTCAGGATGACAAATCAGAGCAAACTATCTTCAAACAATAGCATGGTATTCTTTCACTGTAATACCTACTGTAAATTGGACACTGCAGTTAGATGAACAATAACTTAAGCTTTCTGCCCATATAAGACATGTATATGTCCGTGAAAATTAGCTTTTGTTTACAACATCATTGTAGTCACATTATCCATATTGAGCAACAGCTATCCCGATTTCGGGACACCCATCCAGTAGAGGTTAAAATAAAGACAGTTCACAGAATTGTCCATTTAAAGAAATGTAGCCAACTTATTCATTTCTACATTTAGCTAACATTAGATAGTTAATCCAGAGATTCTTACCTTTGCCTCGATTCGGCAGTCTCGTCCAGATCATCACGGTATTTGTAGTTCTTTATGATAGCCACATAAGCAGCTAATTAGCATTGTATTTTTGGGGGGTAAATACAGACGAATATATTGATAAAAGTCACCTTGTCTTAGAGAGAGTTACAAGGTTATCAAAACGTCATGCCAGGGTAAGCCTACACGGAACAGAGCCCTTATTTTAAGTGTTTCTAAAATCCCATATGAGAAAAATTAATGGTGGAAAAACAATTTGAACCATTTCCCTGCTTCTTCTTCTTCTTCTTTGGTGGGGTTTATCGGCGGTTGGCATCCAACGTTATGGTGCATTACTGCCACCTACTGTACTGGAGTGTGGGCCAGAGACAGGGGGAAACTAAATCCTACCTGCCAGCCCCGTTGCTCTTAAAAAAGATAACAAAGTATTTGAGACTATATCTAATGATGTTCTACTCAATATACTCTTTAAACTAATTTCCTGTATCCCCTTCTCCCTCATACTAGATCTCATTCTCTCTCTTTCCCTCTGATACTGCCCTCACTGTAGCAAAACATGCTACATGGTCTATGTTTCCTGGCAATAATCAAACTTTCCTGTTGGATAATTTTCTATCACATTTAATGTCTCATTCAACTGGCTGTGTCCCACCCTTAATCTTGTAAAAATAGCCTCCTCTCTTCTGTCCTTTCCTGCTGTCCTTCCCTTCCCAACTTTCCTCTGTACTTGAAATAAATGCCTTCCCTTATTATCTTTATTCCACTACTCTTTCCATCTCTGCACCATCACTGTATATATCAGGCTTTTTCACTCTGCCTTGCTCATTGAAACTACAACATCAACATCCCCACTACTAAGTGCTTATTTAGCCAGTTCATCTACTGCCTCGTTCCCCTCCACCCCAACATGGGCTGGTACCCAAGTAAATCTTATCTGTATACCCATCTGTCTAATCCTGCCATGGGTTTGTAGCACCTCATAAAGCAGGTATTGTCTGCTACGTGAGCTAAAGGACTGGAGTCTCATTAACACTGCACATGAATCAGAGCAAATAACTACTCTGTCTGATTTAAACCATTTCCCTGTTTGACCGCTAGGTTTTATGGGTATTACGACTCATAACGTGGTACTCTATTTAGCCTTTTTTGCAGCTGTTCTGTGAATATTTATTTGCTTACTCTAACAGATTGTTGCGTTAATTTAATCTAATTGTGTAACGTTTGTGTGTATGAGAGAGCGAGATAGAGAAAAATACAGAGAAATGACTTGCTTGTTTCTGAAGATGATTAAATACATAGATCATTCTTTGTTCTGCCTTATGAGAGCCACTGCTGATTACTCAGTCTGCTCTACACCTACCACATGTACAGTAAATGTATATGTTTACTTGGATGCTACGGTCCATCATCAAGTTCACACTCACAGTCCACCTTTCAACTGACTGTCATGTAACATGTATTGCTGTGAATAGACATCAAGGATAAAACCATTGTAATTATTTTACAAAGACTTTAATAAATGCTCTAGATATTTTTTGCATTATTATATTTAAGTTACTGTCTGGCATTTTGTTAATTAAGTAATGCAAACTCAAAGGAATACAAAAACACATATTCTTTCACAAAAGTAGTGCACTGGGCCTTTAATAGTCCTGTATTAGCGGACCGATATTGAAGAAAATCACAGCACCCCCACTCCCAAACTACTTCCCACAGCTATGGGCATTTCAAACATCAATATACAAATCACCTGAATCTTACAAGTGAGTTTACATGATTCGTCTTGTTGCCTTGATTGTTTTGTTTTAAAACACCGAAATAAAATCTACGTTAAATACTTGTCTTGGCTCTAGGAGGAGGATGTCTCAGTGCAGTACCTTCATTCAACAGTGCTCATGTCAGTGGGGTTCCACAAAAGGGATGTTACTGGCATGCCAACCCATAACTCTAATCCTAACATTAACCCTAATCTTAACCAAACTTCTAAACTTAACCTAACTATAACCAATTATGTAGTTCAACATGTGTTTGCAGGTCAGTCATGTCCCTTTAGTTTTCCTCCATGTCAGTGCTCTGGGTTCAGCTTTTAGCTCTATAGAATCTCTAGGAGTAATGGGAATGTTCGGTATTCAAACTTCACTGGCAGCCTAGTCTATGCACTAACAGTTGGACATCTCACTTGCTAGGAGGCACCCTAGCTTAATAGATTCTAACATCTACCAAATGCTGATTGAGTAACAACTAAGTAGCAGCAGCACTGAACTCTCTGAACTGCACACACACACAGCACAGTCCACAGCTCCAAACATAATAATTTGTTGGGCGCATATATTTGTCCTGTTTCATGTACAAATGTCCACATGTACAAGTGTATATTGGAAATTAGGTTTTTGCATATCCCAACTCAGCCATTATCAACGGCGACCCTGGAGCAATTAGGGTTAAGTGCCTTGTTTAAGGGCACATTGACACTTTTTCTACCTTCGGGGATTCGAACTAGTGACATTTCGGTTACTGACCCAATGATATAACCGCTAGGCTACCTGCACATACTGTAAATAGTGATATGTTTTTTCCAACTTCAGACGTTTCCTCAAACTTAAAATAACATACAGATTACTATAAAGAATTACAAATAAATAGTTTACATTATTTTGTGATTTAGGGGATTCACAAGGTATAGGTCCATTTATCTTGTAGATGGGTGTTGAGGAACAATTTTCATATAGAGGTTGTTTAGGCCATGTAGCCCAGGGATGCTTTTGTTATTCAATGGGTTTGGTAGGGGTTAGAGACTCTAAAATGAGTGAATGTCATCTTTGTGTAGCAGAGGAAGAAAGTCCTGAGAGGAGTAGCGAACATTCATACACATGAAAAAGTATTTCTGGTCCATTAGTGTAGCGCAGCATGGGGTGGAAGGAGCGGGAAAAGTTGTTGGCATGGTGACAGCTGTTGTCCTCCTCTGTCGTGGGCACCAGGCAGGCTAAGCCAAACAGGAGCAGGAGGAGGAGCTGGAGGGGCAGGGCTGCTCTCAGGACCTTCAGGATAAAGGACTGTGCCCTCGGAGGGCACGAGGAGGAGGACGAGGAAGAGCGGGCCAGGGGGGAGTCAGAACGGGAGGAAGCACAGCCACCGCTACCCAGAGACCTGGTCAGACTGCAGGGAGAAAGAGAACGGGGTTAGACAAACCAGAAATAACAGAGGATAGGGTTTTAAACACAGGGACATAAACACGCACACACCAGTAAAGAGGTAAGATACAGACAAAAGGGTTAATATCGTAAGATACAACACACCCGAGTAAACACACCAATCACACACACAAGGTTACTCACACACTACAGTGAAAAGGTTACACACACTCACAGCAGCAATTTCTACCCACCAGTGAAGGCTGATGAGGGGAGGATGGCTCATAATAATGGCTGGAACTGAGCGAATGGAATTTTACATTTACATTTTAGTCATTTAGCAGACGCTCTTATCCAGAGCAACTTACAGTTAGTGAATACCTATTTTTTTATATATACTGGCCCCCCGTGGGAATCGAACCCACAACTATCAACATCCCTGCCGGCCATTCCCTCCCCTACCCTGGACGACGAACCAGGATCTCTAGTGGCACAGTTAGCACTGCGATGCAGTGCCTTAGACCACTGCGCCACTCAGGAGTACATGGAAACAATGTGTTTGATGTATTTGATACCATTCCACTAATTCCGCTCCAGCCATTACCACGAGCCCGTCCTCCCCAATTAAAGTGCCACTAACCTCCTGTGCTACCCACATTATTCTGACAGCTCTCCTATACACAGGGACCATTCTCACTGAAAGAGAAAACCCTGCTCTTAGAGCTGACTGTGTGAGAGTTCAATGTCAAGTCTCATTCTGAGCAGAGCTCGCTGTGCCAAAAACCCCTCCAGAGACTCCCAGAGAGGGAGCCAAGAGGAGAGGTGGAACTCAGTGTTCCTCCACCCATCGTCATCCTCACAAAGCTCCCTGGTGGTCTGGGGGAGGAAGCTGCAAGCAGTCTGTCTGCAGCCCCTCCACGCCTTCACTCCCTAGCCTTTCACACGTCTCTATCTCTCATTAAATTGTTAAAATTAATGGTGAGAATATTGTGATGTATTAAATGTGGTGTGTGTGTGTGTATATCCTTGCCCGCGTGTTCTACCTCAGCAGGCGTACCTCAGGAGGTCCACAGTTTGGGGCCGCAGAGAACCCCTGAACTCCATGGCAACCTTGTATACATTGCTAGATTTCAATTTACGGAGCCAATTAGTGAGTAAGAGGGAGCTAGTGGAGCCAGGGCATGCTCATACAATGGAGCCTACCAGCCCCAGCAGAGCCTCATTACCTTTGCTCAACCACTTATCCGTAAACTAATTAGGGCCAGGGTTCAACCCAGCCTAAATGTCATTAAATGGATCAAAAACCACGGAGAGAAGACTCAAAATAAAAGAGAGAACGGGACAGAGGTGGGTGGGTTATTAGTAAGGAAATTAGAGAAGGATGAGGGAAAAAAGACAGAGAGAAATTAGAGTAAGCGGGAGGAAGAGATTGAGAAAATGTATTACAGGAGATAGCTAGTTTGCCATGAAGAGAAAGGGAGAGGAATAGAGGGATAGTAAGTAAAAAAAGAAAAAAAAAGAAGGCAAAGTGAGTCAGCAGAGGGTGATGAAACAGAAACATTAGGATCATTCCATCTAGTGGATGAGAAATAAACTACAGGGATTAGTGGTTCCTTAGATAGGTGAGCAGCACCTGGCAGCATCGATCAGACAGCAGTGCATAGTAGCAGAGAGCAATAAAACAACAGAAAATGTTCCACTTTCATTTAAAGGAAGAAAGGAATCCCCTGAACTAGTTGATTCCCAAATCGGTTTTGGCTACGTCGCTTCTAGAAAGAAGGAGGATCATGGAACTCATATGGGCCAATGTTGGGGAAGTTTGGAGGGATAAAGAGGACGCATCATTTCTCAACAGATGAGAGAGGCAGAAGAGGCCATAAGGATCTGGTTTAGGTTCGGTTTCCTATCCAGTTTCTTAACTGTGTCATTATGAGTTAGACAACTAAAAGGCATTGGACCAGTAACTAGGGGCATAGAGTATAATTTATTTGATTGATTGACTGATTGGTTTAAGAATTTGTAGAGGTCAAAGGTATGCGGTCATGGTTCCATCATCCTCCCATAGTTCTAGAGTCCAGGAGAGAGGTACCTGTGATGCGGGCAACTATCAGGGGGTCCTGGGTGGGCATGATTACTTTTGCCCAGGGGCTGAACCACACAATGAGCAGGACGTGGGGTAAAAGAAAAAAAGAATTGTTCAGTCCGGAACAAATAAAAACCAATCTTCAGATGAGAGATAAAAACAAACCAACAAATAACAGAAAAGGCAGTAACATCAATAGAACTTTAACAACTAAAGAGCAGCAAAATCTGTGACAGTGATAGAAGTCTCAGAACCAAGAAATCTGTATTTTCACATTGGATTTCATAAGGAATTACAATATTACACAATTTATTGATATGTTCATCAAACATTCATTTCCATCTATAGGTGGGTAGAAAATACATTAAATGTTACCATCCTATTAGTTTGAAATGTTTAATTGTTGCCAACGATTAGTAATGCTTCATGAATGTATTAATAAATTATGATGAGGTTATAGTGCTGTTATGGTGGCCTGTAATGACTAGAAGCATTAACGTTTATAATTATTTGCAATTACACTACTTGCTGACACTGCAATTGTTCTCTATAAAACAGCAGTTAGTGAAAAGCCAGCATTTCTTGTGAATTGTTGGCTATGCAGGTCTCCATAGTGTAGGTAGCAAAAACCATCTCAAAGAACAACAGCTTGAAGGGGCAACATACTCTACCGGTCAAAGGTTTTGGAACACATGCCCATTCAAGGGTATTTCTTTATTTTTACTATTTTCTACATTGTAGAATAATAGTGAAGATATCAAATCTATGAAATAACACATATGGAATCATGTAGTAACCCAAAAAGTGTTAAACAAATCAAAATATATTTTATATTTGAGATTCTTCAAATAGCCACCCTTTGCCTTGATGACAGCTTTGCACACTCTTGGCATTCTCTCAACCAGCTTCACCTGGAATGCTTTTCCAACAGTCTTGAAGGAGTTCCCAAATATGCTGAGCACTTGTTGGCTGCTTTTTCTTCACTCTGCGGTCTGACTCATCCCAAACCATCTCAATTTGGTTGAGGTCGGGGGATTGTGGAGGCCAGGTCATCTGATGCAGCACTCCATCACTCTCCTTCTTGGTAAAATAGCCCTTACACAGCCTGGAGGTGTGTTGGGTCATTGTTCTGTTGAAAAACAAATGATAGTCCCACTAAGCCCAACCCAGATGGGATGGCGTATCGCTGTAGAATGCTGTGGTAGCCATGCTGGTTAAGTGTTCCTTGAATTCTAAATAATTCACAGACAGTGTCACTAGCAAAGCACCCCCACATCATAACACCTCCTCCTCCATGCTTTACGGTGGGAAATACACATGCGGAGATCATCTGTTCACCCACACCGCGTCTCACAAAGACACGGCGGTTGGAACCAAAAATCTCAAATTTGGACTCCAGACCAAAGGACATATTTCCACCGGTCTAATGTCCATTGCTCGTGTTTCTTGGCCCAAGCAAGTCTCTTCTTCTTATTGTTGTCCTTTAGTAGTGGTTCATATGCAGCAATTCGACCATGAAGGCCTGATTCACACACTTGAAGAAAGTTTTTGCGACTTCACTTGAAGAAACTTTCAAATTTCTTGAAATGTTCCGTATTGACTGACCTTCATGTCTTGAAGTGATGATGGACTGTCGTTTCTCTTTGCTTATTTGAGCTGTTCTTGCCATAATATGGAATTGGTCTTTTACCAAATAGGGCTATATTCTGTAAACCCCCCCCCCCCCCCCCCCCATTCCAGGTTGCTACCTCATGAAGCTGGTTGAGAGAATGCCAAGAATGTGTAAAGCTGTCATCAAGGCAAAGGGTAGCTATTTGAAGAATCTGAAATATAAAATATATTTAGATTTGTTCCAAAAAAAATGGTTACTACGTGATTCCATATGTGTTATTTCATAGTTTTGATGTCTTCACTATTATTCTACAATGTAGAAACTAGTAAAAATAAAGAAAAACCCATGATGGTGTTCTAAAACGATGTATATTTCTCAGTGGTGGATGTGTTAGCAGGGCAGCTATAAAGCAATCTACAAACAAAGGGTATAACTTCAATGAATTTACTTAATTGCCTGAACTAAAACAGAAAGGGCTGGTGGGTAGCTGCGGTGTAAAGGCTGGAACTGAGAGTTGTTCTGTGGGATCAGCATGCGTTGGGAGAGAGAAAGAGGGTGACATTTTGGATGAAGGATAACATTTGGGAGATCACTCTATAATTTGGTCAGGGTGACTTGCTATTTCTATAACCAGTAAACCCCACACCAATGACGTTCTATACAAACACAGCCCCCATTACATAAATCTACAGTGAATAATAGGTCCTAGATAAGTAAACAGGGAGAGACATTACCGATCGCCGGCGACTCGTCACAGTTTCCTCGGAGACGGGGCTGGTGGATCCAGAGGTGTCAGATTTGTCCACAGGAGACAAAGGCAGGGAGTCCTGCTAAGAGGTAATGTGGACAAAGAGAAATAGTCAGTCTGAAGAATAGTTTCTTTCTCTTTCTCTTGATGCTCACTCGGACGGACACACAGGGTGCATTTCCCTGTTTCATTACCTGCTTCTAACTAGTAACCTGGAGATCCTCAAGTGATTGTCATAATTGTTGCACTAAAAAGCCCACATCATAAATGTACTGTATGTGATATGTCTGCAGGCCTTATGTGTATTTTTCTCTGACCTGTTGTGTGTCCATGGTGCCCAGTCTCCTCTCCAGGCCCTCCAGGTCAGCACTGACCTCCCAGAGGAGCAGCCACAGCCTGTTCCCGATCACATGCACCTTCTCCTGGGCCTCCAGACAATTGCTGGCATGGGTCTGGTTCTGGGTCTGCTCTGAAGCCTGGGGCAGGATTTGGGTCTGGGTGTGCACCAGCAGCTGGGCTGAGAGCTCATGGAGGGAAGCAGCCTTCTTCTGGGAGTCCAGCAGCTCACACTTGATTTGCTGGAGGTGAATGGGGGGAGGAGGTGAGAGGGGTAGCTTTTAATTAAATTTATTTTGGGCTAGGCTATAACCCTTTAGGATATTGGTATTTTGCGAGGATAAACATATTTGGAGTGTTGCCTACATTTTGAGTGCTATTTAGATATGAAGTTCAATCAAATCATGTCCCTTTACATCATGATGTCCCTTTCATACATCACAGTTCTATGATTCTCTATGTTTTGAAGTGGAAAGTAACGTGAGTGTTCTGTTGTGAGCACGTAGTGTATCACAGTCGAGCCTGGGGGGGGCAGACTGTGGCTCAGCTCATAGAACTCCTGGAGAGAGAGAGAAAGGGAGGTGAAATGACAAATGTTATGTTTTTCTCTAACATAGATGTAACAAACACATTATGCGTGTGGTGTACACATACAGACAGAATTACACAGGTTCATTTTATTGGATGAATGTCCACAATGTGTGTATGACTGTAAACGTTTACATGCTTGTTGTACCTGACACTGCACCAGGGCCCTCTGTAGCTCTGCCCTCCAGTCCTCTTGTGATGAGGCCAGCCAATCCCAGCGTGAGTTAATCTCCTTCAGCCCGCCCCTCAGCTCACACGCCTCCTCTGAGTCAGCTGAGTTGGGCTCTGATTGGAGGAAGTCAGCGCTTCTGAGGTTAATTGACAGGACCTGGGACTTGCAACAGTCCATGGCCTTTCTGCAACACAAAATAGTACCGGTAATCTATTTAATGCTGGTGTAGATTCATGGGCTATTACATTTTTTTGAAAAGATGCCGCCAACTGAGAAGGTCGACATCTTACGAGCTCCAACCCGACTTTGCTATTTAGTTACTTTTTTTGTGTTTATATTTTCTTCTTTTGTACAGAAAGTTCATATGACCGGCAAGCACTTTTGGACATCAGATCGACAGCTACTAACCTCGATTTCAACTTCAAATCTGACTTCAACTCCGACTCAGCTGTTCCCTTGTTTACACCAGACCCTACTCCCAGTGGTGTAAAGTACTTAAGTAAAAATACTTTAAAGTACTATTTATATTTTTGACTACTTTTACTTTTACTCCACTACATTCCTGAAGAAAATAATGTACTTTCTACTCCATACAATTTCCCTGACACCCAAAAGTAGTCATTATATTTTGAATGCTTAGCAGGACAGGAAAATTGTTGAATTCACACACATCAAGAGAACATCCCTGGTCATCCCTACTGCCTTTATCTGGCAGACTCACTAAACACAAATGCTTTCGTTTGTAAATTATGTCTGAGTGTTGGAGTGTGCCCCTGGCTGTCCCTAAATAAAAAAATCAAGAAGATTGTGCAGTCTGGTTTGCTTAATCTAAGGAATGTAAAATTATTTATACTTTTACTTTTGATACTTAAGTATATTTAAAACCAAATACTTTTAGACTTTTACTGAAGTAGTATTTTACTGGGTGACATTCACTTTTACTTGAGTAATTTTCTATTAAGGTATCTTTACTTTTACTCAAGTATGACAATTGGGTACTTTTTCCACCACTGGCTACTCCTTTGTTTGGGCATAAGATGGTTGAGCTCTTGTTTGAGAGTCTCCTATCAAAGAGACTTGAAAAGCTGCAATATTCAATGCTTTCCAGAAACTTGGCTGACTGAATCTATGGATATACAACTCAGTGGGTTCTCCATGCAGCGCTTCGATTGGACGGTGGCTTCGGGCAAGTCCAAAGGGGGAGTGGTGGAAATCTCTAGCTTTTGCTCACTTGACATAGAATACCTCATGGTAAGCTGCAGACATTTTTATCTGCCAAGAAAGTTCTAATCTGTAATTATCACTGCTGTCTACTAAGGGTGTGACGTTTAAACGTTTAAACAAAAATTGGATCGATAACGTTTAGAAAAAATCACCTAACCGGAAAAACTACATTTAAATTACAGTGCAGTTATCACAAAACTACCACTAACAGGTACCGAACATCATCATAAAGGGACAAATTAAAATTAAACAAATACCTAACGCAACAATGCTGAAATGTTAGTAGGAGGAGATATGCATCTTTCTAATTATTTGCCATGGATATAAAGTTGAAGTGACAGCAGCGAAGTCCTGTATGGCAATACTTTGAGAAGTTAAATAAGGAGGTAGTGAAATTAAAACTTTACGAGGTAGAATTGAGCTACAGTGGCAGTACAGGTGCAATGCTGAAAGTGAGAAACCGTGAGACCCAACCCGTTCCTTGCAGCAGTGTGGATAAGGGAAGTAGTGAGAAAATCACAGCGTTGATTACAGAAATGATTGCAGTTGATATGCAGCCATTGTCAATGGTAGATGCTGTCGGCTTCAATGCCCTACTGGCATATCTAGAACCAGACTACAAGATGTAATGTCGAAAAACCGTGACGGCCCAGATCGAGAAATTGTACAATGATTGCTCTACAAGTACAAAAGCGTGAGCTCTAAAATACCATACGTGGTGTTAACAACAGATTGTTGGACATCTATGAACACGTTGTCATACATCACTACAACGAGCCATCACATTGATGAAAAGTGGGATATGAAGTCCCATGTACTGACAACTGAGAACATGGAGGAGAGGCACACAGCAGAGAACCTAAAACAGCATTAACTAACATCGTTGCTGAGTGGGTGGGGGACAGCAGTAAATGTAAGCGCTGTCTGGTAGGTATTCAGGACTTCGGTAGATTGAACTGCATTGCCCCCTAGCGGTCATATGCAGGACCATATCTGAATTGTGAATTCACGCCATTTTATGAATTTACCTTATCGTTTAATAGTTTAAATAATAAGAAAATGTTTATATTTGTCACATCCCTACCATCTAAATCCCATCAGAAGCCAACACCACTTTGGCACTCAACGAATTGTATGGGGCCGTAAACAAACAAGAAACCGCACACCCAGATGCGTCGTTTCTTGTGGGCGGAGACTTTAACGCATGGAGACTAAAATCCATTCTACCTGATTTCTACCAACACGCCTCCTGCAGCACAAGGTAGCCTGGGAGTCCTACTGGAGAGAAGGAAACTAATTGAGACGCTGGGCGACCCATCCTCCATTAACGTGCATATTACTCGCCAATGTTCAATTAATAGTGAATAAACTTGAAAAACTCAGAGCGAAGATCTCCTTCAGAGGGACATCAGATTCTGTAACATTTTCTGTTTTTCTGTGACTTTCCTTCGACATCCAAACGGATTATATACAACCAGCGGGTTTTACAGTTCATCGAGCAGATAGGAAGCAGGGACTCTCTGGCAAGAACAAAGGCAGTGGTGTCTGCTTCATGACCAATAACAAGTGGTGCGATGGAGGAAACGTACAGGAACTTGCGAGCTTCTGCTCTCTTCCGACTTGGAATATTTGCTCATGAAATGTCACCCTTTTACCTTCTGAGAGAGTTTTCAGGATTACATCCCACCCCAAGCCGACACCAAAAATGCTCTCAAAGATCTTCATTGGACCCTGAACAAACTGGAGACAGCATACCCAGAGGCAGCATTCATAGTCGCGGGGAACTTTAACAAAAGTAATTTGAGGTCCGTGCTCCCAAATTATTATCAACACATTGACTGTCCAACTCGGGGAAATTCCACTCTTGACCACTGGACATGGCTTTTTGACAAGGGTATAAGGCCCTCTCCAGTCCTCCTTTCGGCAAGTCTGACCACAACTCCTTTTTGCTCCTCACTACCTACAAAGACTCAAGAGGGAAGTTCCAGTGGTCAGGTCTGTACAACGCTGGTCTGACCAATTAGAATCCATGCTCCGGGACGCCTCTGAGGATAACATCAACGAACACGCCGACTCAGTCACCGGATTCATAAAAAAATGCATAGATGATGTGATACCGATGGTGTCTTTCAAAACCTACCCAAATCAAAAACATGGATTGATGACAGCCTTGTCGGGAAACTGGAGGAGAGAGATGCTGCTTATAAACATGGCAAGGTGACCGGGGACAATTGTATGATTAAACAGTACAAATATGACCTACACAGATCGATCAAGATGGCGAGACACAAGTATAGGGACAAAATGGTGGAGCAATTCAGCGGGTCAGACACGAGGCGTATGTGGCAGGGGCTTCTAACGATCACATATTACAAAAAGAAAGCCAGTCACGTCGCAGACACCAACACCGCCCTACTGGATGAGCTAAACAACTTTTTCTCATGCTTTGAGCATAACAACTGTAGGAGGAGACCCCTTGAGGACAACAAGGTCTACATACTTATGGTCTCCACTGAGGACATATGTAAGTCATTCAAGCGTGTTAACCTTCGCAAGGATGCCGGCCCAGATGGCAGTACTTGTGTCATGCACAAAGTAGATGTCCTAACCGACTTGCCAAAAACTATAGTTTGTTAACAAGAAATTTGTGGAGTGGTTGAAAAACGAATTTTAATTACTCCAACCTAAGTGTATGTAAACTTCTGACTTCAACTGTAACTAAGTAACTAATCTAATCTAATTTATAAACAAGGATCGCTAAAACTCTGGACCACTTTTATTTTACCCATAGAAATGCATACAAGGGCCCTCCCGAGTGGCGCAGATGTCTAAGGCACAGCATCGCAGTGCTTTTATTTTTTTATTTAACGAGGCAAGTCAGTTAAGAACAAATACTTATTTACAAATACGGCATACAAAAAGGCAAAAGGCCTCCTGCGGGGACGGGGGCTGGGATTAAAATAAAAACATAGGACAAAACACACATCACGACAAGAGAGACACCACAACACTACATAAAAAGAGACCTAAGACAACAACATAGCATGGCAGCAACATATGACAACAACGCATGGCAGCAACACCACATGACAACAACATGGTAGCAACACAACATGGCAACAGCACAACATGGTAGCAGCACAAAACATGGTATAAACATTATTGGGCACAGACAACAGCACAAAGGCAAGAAGGTAAAGATAACAATACATCACGCCAAGCAGCCACAAATATCAGTAAGAGTGTCCATGATAGAGGCGTCACTAGAGGCATCACTACAGACCCGGATTCGATCCCAGGCTGTGTCACAGCTGGCCGCGACCGGGAGACCCATGAGGCAGTGCACAATTGGCCAAGCATCGTCCAGGTTAGAGGAGGGTTTGGCCGGCCGGGATGTTCTTGTCCCATCGCGCTCTAGTGACTTCAGTCGCCAGTTGTACGGTGTGCCCTCCGACACATTGGTGTGGCTGGCTTCCGGGTTAAGCGAGCAGTGTGTCAAGAAGCAGTGCGGCTTGGCAGGGTCGTGTTTCAGAGGACGCATGGCTCTCGACCTTCGCCTCTCCCGAGTGTGTACGGGAGTTGCAGTGATGTAACTGTAAATACCAATTGGATATCATGAAATTGGGGAGAAAAACACACTACCAGTCAAACGTTAGGACACACCTACTCATTCAAGGGTTATTCTTTATTTGTACACTTTTTTGCATTTTAGAATAATATTGAAGACATCAAAACTATGAAATAACACACATGGAATCATGTAGTATCCAAAAAAGTGTTAAACAAATGAAATTATATTTTATATTTGAGATTCCTCAAATAGCCACCCTTTGCCTTGATGACAGCTTTGCACGCTCTTGGCATTCTCTCAACCAGCTTCATGAGGTAGTCACCTGGAATGCATTTCAATTAACAGGTGTGCCTTCTAAAAAATTAATTTGTGAAATATATTTCCATCTTAATACGTTTGAGCCAATCAGTTGTGTTGTGACAAGGTAGGGGGGGAGTATACAGAAGATTGCCCTATTTGGTAAAAGACCAAGTCCATATTATGGCAAGAACAGCTCAAATAAGCAAAGAGAAATGACAGTCCATTATTACTTTAAGACATGAAGGTCAGTCAATACAGAACATTTCAAAAACTTTGAACGTTTCTTCAAGTGCAGTCGCAAAAACCATCAAGCGCTACGATGAAACTGGCTCTCATGAGGACCGCCACAGGAATGGAAGACCCAGAGTTACCTCTGCTGCAGAGGATAAGTTCATTAGAGTTACCAGCCTCAGAAATTGCAGCCCAAATAAATGCTTCACAGAGTTCAAGTAACAGACACATCTCAACATCAACTGTTCAGAGGGGACTGTGTGAATCAGGCCTTCATGGTCAATTTAGCTGCAAAGAAACCACTACTAAATGACACCAATAAGAAGAAGTGACTTGCTTGGGCCAAGAAACACGAGCAATGGACATTAGACCTGTGGAAATGTGTCCTTTGGTCTGGAGTCCAAATTTGAGATTTTTGGTTCCAACCACCGTGTCTTTGTGAGACACGGTGTAGGTGAATGGATGATCACTGCATGTGTAGTTCCCACCGTAAAGGATGGAGGAGGAGGTGATATGGTGTGGGGGTGTTTTGCTGGTGAAACTGTCTTTGATTTATTTAGAATTCAAGGCACACTTAACCAGCATGGCTACCACAGCATTCTGCAGCGATACCCCATCCCATCTGGTTTGGGCTTAGAGGGACTATCATTTGTTTTTCAACAGGACGATGATCCAACACACCTCCAGGCTGTGTAAGGGCAATTTGACTGGGAAGGAGGGTGATGGAGTACTGCATCAGATGACCTGGCCTCCACAATCCCCTGATCTCAACCCAATTGAGATGGTCTGGGATGAGTCGGACAGCAGAGTGAAGAAAAAACAGCCAACAAGTGCTCAGCATATGTGGGAACTCCTTTAAGAGCGTTGGAAAAGCATTCCAGGTGAAGCTGGTTGAGAGAATGCCAAGAATGTGCGAAGCTGTCATCAAGGCAAAGGGTGGCTACTTTGAAGATTCTCTAATATCAAATATATTTTTATATAACCTTTTGGGTTACTACATGATTCCATATGTGTTATTTCATAGTTTTGATGTCTTCACTATTATTCTACAATGTAGAAAATAGTAAAAATAAAGAAAAACCCTTGAATGAGTTGGTGTGTCCAAACTTTTGAATGGTACTGTATATATAGATAAAAATAAAAGAAATGCATACAAGGCCCTCCCTAGCCCTCCTTTAGGCAAATCAGATTACGACTCTATCCTACTGCTTCCTGTTTACAAACAAAACCTCAAACAGAAAGTACCAGTGACACACTCATAATGGAAGTGGTCCGATGAAGCAGACGCAAGGCTACAAGACTGTTTTGCTGGTACAGACTGGGATATTTTTGATATATTTTTATAATTTTATATTTTTATGTTTTTCTGTGATTCATCCAATAACATTGAGGAGTTTACCACGTCAGTCACGGGCTTCATCAATAAGTGCATCGCCTTCGTCGTCCTCACAGTGACCATACAAACGTATCCTGCTCACACCAAAAACCATCCAAACCAAAAATCATGGATGACAGGCAGTATCGGCACTGGGCTAAAGGCTATAGCTAACGCTTACAAGAAACGGGACACCGACAAGAAATCCTGCTACGACCTCCAAGGAGCCATCAAACATGAAAAAGGACACTATAGGACGAAGGTGTAATCCTATTGTTCCGACGCTCGTTGGATGTGGCAATTTTCAATCGTCCCAGTCTGTAATCCCAACATGTTTCAAGATGACCACTATTGTCCCTGTAAGAAGGTAAACTGCCTAAATGACTATCGTCCCGTAGCACTCACATCTGTAATCATACACATCAACACCATCATCCTAGACACCCTGGACCCACTCCAATTTACATACCACCCCAACAGAACCAATAGATGACACAATCTTAAATGCATTTCACACTGCTCTCTTCCACCTGGACAAGAGGGGAAATCACTATGTGAGAATGCTGTTCATAGACTACAGCCAACACCATAGTCCCCTCCAAGCTCGTCACCAAGCTCGGGACCATGGGACTAAACACCTCCCTCTGCATCTGGATCCTGGACTTCCTGATGGGCCGGCCCCAGGTCGTGAGTGTAGGCAACAACACCTCCGCCACGCTGACCCTCAACACGGGGGCGCCTCAGGGGTATGTGGTTAGTCCCCTTCTGTACTTCCTGTTCAGCCATGACTGCGTGGACACGCAGGACTCCAACACCATCATCAAGTTTGCTGATGACACGACGATGACAGGCCTGATCACCGACAGCGATGAGACAGCCTACAGGAGGGCAGTGTGGTGCCAGGACAACAACCTTTCCCCCAACGTCAGTCAGACCAAGGAGCTTATAGTGGGGGGGATGTAGTGGAGCGGGTCGAGAGCTTCAAGTTCCTTGGTGTCCACATCACTAAGGACTTAAAATGGTCCACACATATCCGCACAGTCGTGAAGATGGCACGACTGCACCTCTTCCCCCTCAGGAGGCTGAAAAGATTTGGCATGGGCCCTCAGATCCTCAAAATGTTCTACAGCTACACCATCGAGGGCATCCTGATTGGCTGCATCACCGCTTGGTATGGTAACTGCACGGCCCTCGACCGCATAGCGTTACAGAGGGTGGTGCGGACGGACGGCCCAGTACATCACTGGGGCCGAGCTCCCTGCCATCCAGGACCTCTATATGAGGCGGTGTCAGAGGAAGGCCCGAAAAATTGTCAAAGACTTCAGCCCCAAACTGTTCACTTTGCTACTGTCCGGCAAATGGTACAGGAGCATCGGCTCTCGGACCAAAAGGCTCCGAGACAGCATCTACCCCCAAGCCATGCTAAAAAGTTAATCAAATGATTACCCGGACTAGCTGCATTGACCCTATCTTGCACTGACCCTATGCCCACTCACAAGACTATACCCAATCACTCACACATACACACAGACACGCACACATAACACACACACATGCATACCAACGCCACACACACACATAGTCCTATCTACGCATTGTTCATGAGTTGGCATGCACTTACTCACCCTAGTCACTTTATCCCTACTCATGTGTACATATCTACCTCAAATACCTTGTACCCCTGCACATTGATATGGTACTGGTAATTCCTGTATATAGCCTCATTCTTGTGTATTTTAGGCCTCTTGTGTTATTACTATTTTTTGTATTACTTTTAACTCTGCATTTCACAGTAAAGTCTACACCTGTTGTATTCGGTGCATGTGACAAATACAATTTGATTTGATTTAAATGCTATAAAAACCCTAAGTAAACAAAACACTTGGGGGGGAGAACTTCTTGCAGTGTATCCTTGTATTATTTTTGTCTTGTCTGTGAGTTTGTATGACAGTGAATTCCCCTTGGGGATAAAAAAATACTAATCCATAAAGTATTAATCTCTCCATCTCCAGCAGCAGTCTGTAGTAGTAGTTTACTAACCTGACAACACAGCAGCAGCCGTCCTGAGGTACTCCTCCTCCAGCTTCTGTCCTCGACCCCTCTCTGGCCCCAGACTTCGCCCCCCAGCACTCTCCAGCCCTCGGCTCAGGTCGTAGTCGTGGTCCCACTCCAGGGGGATAGAGTCCATGCTGGCTGGGGTGTCCCGGCCCGAACGGTCCACCCGTAGGGGGAGTACAGAGCCCAAGGTGGGGCAGCTGAAGGGGTGTGGAAGAGAGGAGTCACCCCACTGCAAGTCAGAGAGGTCAGACGACTCATCCATGTCCAGTTCTCGGTCAGAGTAGTCTAGCTCGTCTTCGGCAAGCTGAAGGGAGGGAGAGGGAGGGGGAGTGAGTGTGTGTGTTTGTATGGTATGTGCTAGGTGTGTGTACAAGGTTATGCCAGTTATGTCATATTGGCAAATGGCCCATATCGTTTAAGTCACAGACAGATGCGGTACTCCATGCAACCCAATACCACCTGACACCTGGTTCTACCCTGTCGGACACACACCAACTGGCAGTTGGTGTGTGTGTGTGTATTCTGTACACAAAAGGCATTACTCACAGGCAGGCGTGTGAGCTTCTTGTAGTATCTGTCGACAGCAGCATCCAGCGGCTCACCCTTCTCTATCAGTGCCTCCCCCTGCCTGAACACCAGCTCAATCTTCCCTGTGTTCAGAAAGATCTCCTGCTGGAATGCCTGAATACACACACATAGGGTAAAGGTCAGGGGTTAGATATTTCAGTATGTGTTTCTAAGGTGGGCACCACAATCAAGTAATGTCAGGGGAAATGCTGTTAGCCTCATTTGTGATGCCAGTTAAATCGGTCAAGGGAGGATACTAATACATATAGCACGGAATGAGCCGTCATACAAAGTTCATGCATTCAAATCCTAAAACCATTTAATAGATAGCTAGTATTCAAAGTCACACAAACACACCCTTAGCTGTTTGATCTTGGCCTGGACGTCACACTCTGAGAAGTGTTCTATGTTGGTGAGCTGCAGGTCCATCTCAGTGAGCCACACCAAGATGCTGTCTCTAGCTGTCTCAAACTCCTCCCTCTGACCAATAAAGTGCTGAGAGAACCCAGAGAGAGGGCAACAGTGTTATAGGTTTGTTCAATAACTAGAATTTCTACTGTTATGTGTTGACAAATAAACTACATAAGTCATTGTGTTCACACAGTAAAGTCTGTGAAACTGTTGTTCATGATAGTCCCAGCATACCTTGAGCCTGCGCAGGATGGAGGCCACCCTCTTTTGTAGGTTGTCCCAGCGACGGTTCCCATCATGCACCATTTCTCGGAGGCGACAGGTGGAATCTGTGCGATCCTCTCTGGCCAGATGACGATACTGCTTATTTATCAGCTCCAGCTGGGTCAGACACTCCTGCACCTGCCTCTGGAATGCCTGCGACACACACACAATCAGAATGAGAATTTTATACAGATACTTGGTTGATATATTTCCTTGATTATTTTGACCCAACAACTGTTTCAAGTTATCTGTTAGCAATCCTGTGATATCCTGGGACGACCCAGGCACATGCAGGGCTGACCCCATTGGCCCTGGCCAGCTAGTGTAGGAGGAATATGCACTACGTGGACTACAGCAAGTGGATATGACCAGCAAAGAAGGTTCCAGTAATCTGATTTCCCCCTCTCTCTTATTCTACAGTGTTCAGTACACACACTCTTTCTCTATCCCTCTCTTTCTCCATCTACCCCATATGCCCCCCCTCTCAATTTGCACTATACACACTCAGTTTCTCGCACTCTTTAGTTCATCTCTCTTCCTACCGTCTGTCTTTGTGACTCTTTAAAATATCCCTCCCTATTTCTCTGACCACAACTGCTCTCTAATCTGTACCTCAAACTTCTTGAGCTCCTCCTTGGCAATGGTGTATAGAACTCCAGAAGAGTTGGGAAGAGCAGCTGTCCTCTCTGAGTTCTTCAGCCACTCCTCGAACCGAGAGAAGTCATCCAGAAACTTCTGCCACAGCCTCAACATCTCCTCAATCCTGCACAAACCCGAAGATAAGAGGAGAGAATGAGGTATGGAACACAGTGGAGGTTATGCAAGAGTAGAAAATAGAGATTCTACATGGCACATATGCACGGTGTGTGTTTGTGAGTGTGTGTGTGTGTGTGTGTGTGTGCGTGTGCGTGAGTAAGTGCATGCCAACTCATGTACAATGCATAGATAGGATTGTGTGTGTGTGTGTGTGTGTAAGTGTGTGTGTGCGTGTGTGCGAGTATTTTACAGTATGTACCCTCAGTGGCCAGTTTATGAGGTACACCCATCTACCACCGGGTCGGACCCCCCTTTGCCTCCAGAATAACCAGAATTCTTCAGGGCATGGATTCTACAAAGTGTGGCGTTCAAACGTTACTCAACTCTGCCATCAGCATGATGCAACAGGCAATGTTTTTCCACCCCTCAATTGTCCAGTGTTGCCCACTGGAGCCGCTTCTTCTTGATCTTAGCTGATAGCAGTGGAACCCGTTGTAGTCGTCTGCTGCAATAGCCCATCCGTGACAAGGAACGACGAGTTGTGCATTCCGAGATGCCGTCCGCACATCACTGTTGTACTGCTCCGTTATTAGCCTGTTTGTGACCTGCCTGTTAACTTGCACGGTTCTTGCCATTCTCCTTCGACCTCTCTAATCAACGAGCTGTTTTCGGCCACAGGACTGCCGCTGACTGGATGTTTTTTGTTTGTTGCACCTTTCTCGACAAACCCTAGACACTGTCGTGCGTGAAAAGCCCAGGAGGCCGGCATTTTCAGAGATACTGGAACCAGCGCGCCTGGCACTGACGATAATACCACGCTCAAAGTCGCTTAGGTCACTCATTTTGCCCATTCTAACGTTCAATCGAACAGTAACTGAATGCCTCGATGCATGTCTCCCTGCTTTATATAGCAAGCCACGGCCACGTGACTCAAAAAAAAATGTTTCATTCAGCTACATCATTCTCATAAACTCTACTATTTAGCCATAAAATCACTAAAGATATCGACCATAACCACTGACAAACCACAACAACATCTCAACAACCAAAAAGCAACCGTAACAACACAATATCACTCAGCTGAGCTCCCCCATCATCACTAGTCACCCAGTATGAAGGCGAGGTAGAGAGGGTGCTGGATTTAAGATGCTGGATTATTCGATAAGAGTTTAGGGATTTGGTTATAGGACAGATTTGTGAGAATATTAAACTCCTGTCTGAACCACACATGTCTGGGATCCATTTTGGACATGCCTTGATGTTAAGATCTGTCAGTACAATCTAAATATGTTAAATGTTTATCAAGGTTGTGAGAAATGGAATGAATGTCCTCTGATTTGAACTACACCCATTATAGATGTCTAATGGAGCATAGTCATGTATTCACATTCACACTAAGGCGATTCCACTCCAGCTGAAAATATTTTTGGTATCTCAGATAAAGACATCTTGCTGTTATTATACTCCTTATAGTGTCCTCTCAAATATGGAGTATTTCTAGATTCTGAAATAAAATGTTTCACTTTCATTTTTTCAACATTACAAATAATAATATGAATATCTCAAAACTACCCTTTTTGATTTAGCTTATTTTTTGACAAATTGGAACAATATATTCTTCAAACATGTCAAATTTCCAGAGTGAGTTCTCTGGTACTTTTAATGATGTAAGCCATTTTATACATAGAAATTGACATTATAGGTCATTAACGAATCACAGCCCTCCTTTAGGATTTCACATTCAGAAAATCACCAGCCGAGGGAGTTCCCTTTGAATCCATTTACCATTCACTGTGTTGGTGGTGCTCATAAAATGTATCATAACTTCAGAATTAGCAGAGAGCCCACTCTGGAAATGTGATGTACGTGCAAAGTGTATTGTTCCAAAAAATGTCCAAACAATTAACAAAATCAAAAAGGGTTGTTTTGAGATATTCATATTAATATTTTTTTATGTTGAATAGATTCATGTGAAAATTTGTATTTTTGAATCTAGACTTACTCCATATATTAGAGCACACTATAAGGAGTATAATGACACCAAGATGTTGTCTGTATCATGTACGGTTCACGGATCATAAGGTCTTACAGGAGACATGTACAGGTTTAAAAAGGGCCTAAAATTGCCAATTTCATCATGATTTTCAAAGAAATGGTTTGTGATACAAATGTAAAACGCATGTTAAACATCCTTCCTCCAAATGAAGTTCCTATGTAAGAATTACATATCTGAGATACCAAAAATATTTTCTGTTTCCGCTGGTGTGGAATCACCCACTACACCCTTCAAAGCAATGCAGCTCTCTCACACTGTCTCTGCCTGTCACACCAGAAAGACTTGTAAAGAATGCAGGGAGAAGCAATTCTGTACTGGATGCATTAATTAAAGTATATTAGTTGTTACCCGTGGGACGCATTTATCAGGTCTGTGCCAGTTTAGACACCCTATACCACTTTGACTGTAACTGTACAGGAGGCTGTATTATAGTGCAGTCTATAGGGGAAGACATTGCACAACCCCAGTGGCGTCGTTACTGTAGCTGTGTATAGCCCATAAGTACTCTGATCAATACATGGACTGCCTCATCAGAATGCCATCATGCCATGGCTAGGGGTACTCACTTACTGACACAGTTTAGTGCTGTTTAGTGGCTTGCAACATTGATACATGGTCTGTATATTTCAAAAATGACAATCAATATCACTAATATTCTAACTCACCAACTATTTGCACATGCTGAAAAGAATATAGCACTGATGTACTGTTTATGCTTCACACCCTAAGCAGCCAGGTTTTGAACTGAGTAAAAGTCAGTAAACTATCTCATGCTTCTCTCTTGCTGTTACCCATTGATGAAAGAGATAGTGGTCCCTTCTGTGACCTTGTAGAGAGCAGGAAGACAACACAGTCCATTCATAGCCACTGTGCAACAGAAATGTCTCAAAATCTATAATGGTCAACAACAGTTAGCCAAACCAAACTGCATTCCACAGTAAGAACATCATACCAAAGGTCAAGCATGGTGGTGGTGGTGTGATGGTTTGGGGATGCTTTGCTGCCTCAGGACCTGGACGACTTGCCTTAATAGAAGGAACCATGAATTCTGCTCTGTATCAGAGAATTCTACAGGAGAATGTCAGACCATCCGTCTGTGAGCTAAAGCTGAAGCGCAGCTGGGTCATGCAGCAAGACAATGATCCAAAACACACAATCAAGTCTACATGAAAATTGCTAAAAAGCAACAAATTGGACGTTTTGGAATGGCCTAGTCAAAGTCCAGACCTAATCCCAATTGAGATGTTGTGGCAGGACTTGAAACGAGCAGTTCATGCTTGAAAACCCACATGTCACTGAGTTAAAGCAGTTCTGCATGGAAGAGTGGGCCAAAATTCATCCACAGCGACGTGAGAGACTGATCAACAACTACATGAAGCATTTGGTTGGAGTCATTGCAGCTAAAGGTGGCACAACCAGTTATTGAGTGTAAGGGGGCAATTACTTTTTCACACAGGGGAATTGGGTGTTGCATAACTTTGTTTATGAAATAAATATGTAATTGTTGTGTTATTTGTTCACTTATGTTCCCTTTATCTAATATTAGGTTTTGGTTGAAGATCTGATAACATTCAGTATCACAAATATGCAAAAGTAGAGAAAATTAGAAAGGGGGCAAATACTTTTTCATAGCACTGTATGTGTGGCACCTGAGAGTGACAAGTGCTGCTGCTGCTAAAAGAGGATGTACAGTCAGAGGCAGAGCTGGCCCACGAATGGAATGTCACACAGCGAGCGTGCACAGAGCGAGTGTGTATGGAGCTAAAAGTTCCAGTGTGAGTGTGCACAAAGGAAGAGGGCACTACAAGGACAAATATTTCCAATACAAGTGTTTCTGTGACACCCCCTGTAATTGGAAAGAGTTCCTTCCCTTTTCAAACACTCCAAGAACTACTAAAAATGTTCTCCAACTGGTGAACGACTCCACAAGATGAGACAAAATAAAAGTCGGTTTTGAGGTTTTTTCCTATACTTCTGAGAAACTACTTGTGAGAAACTGACCCTGCTTTCAGTTTTCATTGTGGAAAAGGGGACAGACAGAAGAGAACAAGAGTCGGCAGCTGTCTCTGAGGTCACTCACTGTCCCCCCTCCTCTCCTCCCCCTCCTCTTCTCTCCCTCCTCTCTCCATTCCATTCTCAGAGGGCAGCAGCTGGAGTTGGATAGAGGGAGGGAGAGAGAGAAAGGGACAGTTGGCTCAGCAAGAGAAAGGGGAAAGGGGAAAGGCAGATGGGAGAGAAGAGGAAGGCATGCAATCTTTTTATTTCCCTGTCCTACTAACACCAAGTCTAGATGTGTAACTCACAGGCTTCCTCTCACTCAAGGCTTCTCCACTAGGAGGTA